ACGACACGAGACACGGGACATTAAAACACGAAACAACACGATAGCGCTATCACGACACGGCGCGGCGGTAGGTAGATTGGCTAATATCGATTCGTAAACAACTACACAGTCTATTTCACAATATTTACTCCGAGCCAAAAAATTAAAGTTACATCGTCTTATGATGATTTAAGAGTACACCACTTCCAATTGTTTTAGATTATATTTGATCAATGGTTGTAATGAATTAAAAATGTCAAATATATATTTATATATATAAATATATATTAAATATATATTTATTTAAATATATTTGTTCATTTGTAACTTCCCGGACTTACAACAAATTCAAGTGAGTTTTATTTTGTTGCTAGTTCGAGTTTTTGAGCTAAATACATGATAATTAGGACATTAACGCTGTTAAATAATTCTAGATAATGGACTAAGTAAATCTAATGCAGTCTTATGGATTGGACCAATCCACTCTGAATGCTTTTAATCAGCAAGTCGCATTCATGACTCATGGATAAGGCAATGGATGTTCTTAAAGGTTAATGTAACCACTTGAATTTATACAAATCTATATTCACGGTTCTAATTGTTTGAAATAAATTAAGTCTGTAATGGGTTGCAGATTGGTGATTTACCAAACAGCTGTTTTCAGTTTATTTTTTTTTTTTTGTTTTATGTTTTCTACGCCTATGGCATGTTTTTACGTTTTGAAGGGGAACGGTCTAAACCCTGGTCTTATTACTATCTAACGTCGACTTTTTAGTTTAATAGCATCATTAATTTATTCATAGCCCCATGACAATGCCATCTGGGTCTGTGAACGAGCTTGGAATCAATCAAATCAGTGGCCTTCAGATTTTAAGGCGAACACTATAACCTCTCGGCCATCCAGACAATTTATTTGAATCGCAAATTAATCTATATGCCATTCCATTTCCATTTTCCCTAATGAGTTTTGTACTGGTAAGGGAAACTCCTAATTTTCTTCTTTATAAAGGTCCTTGAAATAGACGAGTTGTGGTGTTTTCAATTAAACTTCGTTACACCCTTAGGTAAATTAATACCCTGGTATGTTACTTTGGTAAAATGTTTGTTCTTTATTTACCATAGGAGTAGTTTAAGTAAACCTATATTGTGCTTTTTTGTGGTTATAAAAAATGTGCTATGTTCCTGTACAGCATTTTCATTCCTGTACAAAGTATATATTGATTTGGTTCAATTCTTTGGTCAGTTAATAATCTACTAACTCCCCCTATATATCTTCTGAGACTGTGATCCCCTCCCTCTCCTTGTTCTCCCTCCAAAGCAATATTTGACGAAATTGAAGAGGATTGAATTAGCCATCCAATATCCTCCCAACAAATATTGTACTCCTTTTACCCTCACTTTGTAACTGTGTTATGCTGACCTACAGACAAATGTTTTAAATTATAACTGGGGAAATATACCTAATACAATTTATTATTAGCTCTGTGTACTACTGTAGCACTGTAATATTTGAAATTAGTAAAATATTTGTCAATAACAGCAAAGTAATAGACAGATGCAACCTGTATTATAATAATCAGGCCTCAGGTCATAGTGGCAGTACTTATGAATAATTATTGTTGGAATATAATCATGTACTGATGATAGGAAGGTGCCATAGCTCCATTTCTTAAAGCTCTTATGTACAATTCAATTAAATGAGTAAATTTGACTGTTACTTATTTATGAGAATAGGAGAATAAGTGGCCCACCCTCTAAGGTTATGGCGATGGAATGAATATACATTTAATTGAAATTATAGAACACTAAGCTTATTTCCTCCTTTTGAATTTTTGTTGACATCTAAAATAAACTCAATAATATACAGGGTACCTTAGTGATTATTGTTTTATTAAAGCAATATTAAGTATGTAAAATTTTGGGGAGAAGGGGTTGTTAAATAAAATTTTTTTAGCTAATATTGTGATGCATTGTGTTGTGGTAAGTTTGTCTCTATTATTAGACTACTTAATAGTCACTGATACTCATGTTTTCCAAGTTATGATGTTTTATTTATTTATTCTTAAAAAATATTGAATGAAACACATTAATATGAAAATAGTTATGAATTTTCAGTCTATTTCAAAATGGACCGGTAACTGAGCCAGGCAATATATCTTCTGAATCATAATCATTAGAGGATTTATCTTCTGTCTCATCATACTCAGACAATGTATCTTCTGCCTCTTCATACTCAGAAAATTTATCTTCTGCCTTGTCATACTAAGGCAATGTATCTTCTGCCTCATCATACTCAGACAATGTATCTTCTGCCTCTTCATACTCAGAAAATTTATCTTCTGCCTTGTCATAAGCAGACAATGTATCTTCTGCCTCGTTATATTCAGAAAATTAATCTTCTTCCTCCCTTTAATTAGACAATTTATCTCCTTCCTCGTTATAATCAGGCAATGTATCTTATGCTTCGTCATACTCAGGCAATGTAACTTCTGCCTCGCTTTACTCATACAATTTATCTCCTGCCTCGTCATACTAAGGCAATGTATTTTCTACCTCGTCATAATCAGGCAATGTATCTTCTGCTTCGTCATACTCAGGCAATGCATCTTCTGTCTCATCATACTCAGAAAATGTATCTTCTGCCTCGTCATACTCAGAAAATATATCTTCTACCTCGTCATACTCCAACAATTTATTTTCTGCTTCCTTGGACCAGATAAAATAAATTCAGATAAATTCAGGAGTTACCAAATATGCTAAAGATAGAAGATAAGGGGGATTTTATCTTTCAATCCAAAAAAATTCATGTGCATACAGAACATAAGTCCCGAAGTATATATTATTGGAGACAGATGACGAATTAGACTAAAGATGTGTTTCTATTGAAATCAGTGGAATTAACTTAAACTAAAACACTTTTAGCGAACATAGTCTTCCACTTTCTTGAACTAAAATACTGAGAATGAACTTTACCTAGTTACAGTACTAGAATACTCAATTTAGTTTGTATTTTGTATTAAATTTTAACAAAATACAAAACTTACCAACTACACCTATTTAATACTTACATGTTCCCCCACCATGTATTTGTTACCTACCCACTACTCATTTTGCGTGTAAATAAAGGATACTGTTATTAAGTATGCTTAACGAGAAGGATAGTGCAATACAGAATGCTGCAGACAAAAACTGTCAATTGTTTGTATTTGCTCTGTATACAGACTGTCCCAAAAGTCCCGGACCGGTTTAATATTTTCTAAACGACAACAGATAAATCAATAAGATTTGGTACATCAACACCACACCTAAAAATCTACTTTTTTATGGAAATATAAATTTTCTGTCACATCATGGGGACGTCTCGCAAGGAGTCAGAAGGAAATCTTAAATAGAAGCATAGGTTGACATGTACATCAAATTAAAGGTCTTTACTAGCAGAATATAATGCTGCAAATTTGAACTGAAACGGACAACCAAGTCAAGAATGACAGTGGTTCAAAGATTCATTTAATTTGCATTTGGGGGCACAGCCCTAGGAATCGGAAAAAAAATTTAACGTAAGCATAGGTCGATTTGCACATCAAATTAAAGGTCTTCACTAGTAGATTACACTGCCGTAAATTCAAGCTTAAAAGAACGCCAGAGTAAAAAATGGCAGTCGTTCAAAGATTCAAAATGGCAGGTTCAAGAAATCTTCGAACGGCCGCCATTTTGTAACGGGTGATCCTTTCGAGGCGCGGTTTCCGGCATTGAACTCTGCTAGCTAAACCCTTTAAACTGATGTGCATATTGACCTATGCTCCTATTTAAAATTTCCTTCTGACTCCTCGTGGGACGTCCCCATGATATGACAGAAAATTGATAGTTCCTTAAAAAATTTGATTTTTAAGTGTGGTGTTGATGTGCAAAATCTTATTGATTTATATGTTGTCGTTTAGAAAATATTAAACCGGTCCGGGACTTTTGGGACAGTCTGTATATCTGGCTGTTTAATTTGTCTGATGTGTCTACTTCAACTCCCTCATCTTTGAACAATCAATTCAAAATGTTATGTTATGTAATAAAAATAAATACCTTATCGAAAGAGTAGGAAAAGAAACAACATACAAAGTACAGGATGCAGGATGTAATTGTCAAATGGATAGAAAATCTAAAAGAAGAAGTGCCATCAGTTCAATAACGACATACAAAACTTTACTGCTTGGAAGAAACAATAAAATACCCAAATTCACTTAACATTAAATCAAGTCTCTGGAATGTTGATTGGCAAATAAAAACTAGATATTGAGCTTACAATAAAGGGTGGAGTTTTTGATTATGTAAATTTGTCATTGAATAACTAAGATAGGTGCCTGCCACAAACCGCCATGGAATTAGTAGCGCTAGAAATATTTATATTTGTTAAAAATTTAAAAAAAAATTTAATTTTTGTTTGTTAAATTTTTGTGAATCAATTGGACCTCGCCGACAAGTTTTGCAAACTTGGCAGGACCAAGATTTTGTATCATCACAAATAAATATATTTGAATTTGAATTTGAATAACCCGCATACACAAAGACAATGATTTTAGTACTGACTATACTTTTTTTATCAAATGAGATTTACCTTTTGATCTAGTTCAACAATGAAATAACAATATAATAATATGAGCTTTTATTAAAGGAAACCTTCCCTAATACAGTCTACATCATTCATGTGTAAGTGAATTCCACATGAATTTTAGACCGCTAGTTTACATTAGATACCATCTCTAATGGGCCGTCGTTCAAAATATGTGGCTGTTGATAAATATATTATTTTTCATGAGATTTGACTTAAGTATACTGTTAAATTAACAAAATTAAATAGACTCATTTCTGAAATGGTGTGAATTATAGTGGTCCCTAATAAAGCATAATATGCTATTAAAATACATTTACTCTTATAAACCTAAAGTAAGTAAAGTAAACACAATTGCAGTTTATTCCTGAAAGAAGGAGGATGAAAGAGGGCAGTTGATTGGTCACATTACTATTATGTAGGAATGGTTTTTTATTGGCATTAGGTCATAATATACATGTGTTAAATTCAACCATGTCTTGCTGTATAGTTGACTATAAAACGTACATTTTTTGGCTACACTGATGTCTTGACGTTCGAGTTCTAGCAGACAGCAAACTTTGATACTTGATAATCTGGAACACAATGAAACTCATGTGAAATGTTTTATTTGATTTTCATTGAGCTGATTCGGCTCTAAATTTCATTATTAAATGGTACAATTTTACTACAGTCGAATTAGAGAGAGAAACAACTAAATTTGTGAGGTATAAAATTCTAACTGGGTTAAAAACGTACCGTGATTACCCATTTACAGCCACAAAATAATCTACACCTAAGTCTATGTGTCAGCCATAGTGATACCTAAGCTCAAAGACGATCAAGTATAAACACACACTCACACTATGTATTTATTTATGATTCAACTCCAACAATCATCAAATCAACCCGGCAAGATTACATCTCTCTTTGACAGGATCAACACTATTTTACATAACATCGATTTTATATTTTATTATGTTTAACATCGATGCCGACATAACACCAAAACTGGTATCATTGACGGACAACAGCCATGATAACTGGAGCAACACATGAATTTTCGATCAGCTGTTGCCTTGCCAGTACATTAATTCGCGTCAACGTGAGACCTAGTTGTAATCATAACAACCAAAAGACAGGATTATTCAATCCCGCTACCAATGAGTTAACTTAGGTTTAGAGCTAACTATGCATCCTGTACATGACGATCACCAATAAATTATTTCAAAGGATGGATATCACAGCTAGTTAATAAAATTTGTCATGATTTTCATTTAACTCATGAACCACTACTTCGTTTTGAAATTAAATATCTAAATTTTGCCAATTTATCTATATTCTAGTGCCAGTTACACTGCCTGCCAGTGAGTGCCTAGCGGTGGCCGTAGATTTAGTTTGATCTAAACTAAACCATTTGAAATTACAACCGTTCCGTTTACCTAGTAAATCCTTATGTTAAATTATTCTTGTTAATTTGTCATTTTAATATATGCCAAGATTTGTTATCAGAACGTCTAAACCCTGTTACTGCGGGTGATAGCAGTAAGTCTTGGAAGCATTCTGATTTGAACAACTATGAAGAAGAATAGTAACCGGAATTCATTCCATCGGTATTACAATAGATTCTTTGTTTATAAATCCTAATCAGACCCAAAAAACTCTTTAGGAATTTTGTATTGATTTTACCGGTAAATTATCGCACTTAAATTTGTATCATAGTCTAACGCGATAACATTAAGACGAGTAGTTTTATCAAATTGGCTAGGGTAGAATGTTTGTCAGACCTACAGAGTCATTCTAAAAGTTAAGCAATTTTTTCAAAATACTTAAAACTAGATAGATGAGGATGATATACGTGAGCGTCTACAGGATTTCCTGAGCGCTTCTAGAGCTCTCAACCTCTGATATAAATTACAAAAATTAAAAAGTTAAAACCATGGAAAGGCTCTCTTTTTCACCCTTAAATTTGATTGACTCCTTCATCTGAACACTCCGGAGAAGAAATTTGAGCATGGCTGGTTGTAGCCATCCCCACCCTGGAATTTTGGTCACAAATGTATGATTAAAACTTTAATTTACCATAGAAAGGTCTTACACAATCCGTTCAAATTCATGTATATATATATAAATATATATATAGACAATTAAGTCTTAGGACGACTTTATAGCTTTAAAACAAAGGCGATGCCACAACCAAATTTGGCATATCATTACTAAGCAACTTTTTTGTGTATACATGGTGATCAGATGTCACAAGTAAAGTTGAAAATCTTAAAGGTTAGCATATAGGTTGATATGTACATCAAATTAAAGGTCTTGATGTCGTTGACCTAAAAACAATGCCGCAAACTGGATCTCAAATGGACAACCGAGTCAAAAATGGCAGCCGTTCAAATATTTCTTGAATCTACCATTTTGAATCTTTATACCATTGAAACACCTTTAATTTGATGTGCATATCAACATATGCTTACATTTATAATTTTCTCCTGTTTTCTAGCAGGCGCTACCCTGAAGAGGTAGCGTATAATAGCATTGCAAATTCAATGAATTTTTGAACAGCTATAATTTTTTACTCGATTGTCTACACCAAAAATAGGTTGTGATATCTCTTTTCGTTTTAATGTAAAACGTCGGAAGACTTAATTGTAACCCTGTATATATATAAATGTGTGTGTGTGTGTGCCCATTAGCACGATAAATCGAGCAAAGATGATCCAATTTCGATTAAATTTGGTACAAATGCGTGTAAACCTACGTTTATTCCAACAAGTTTGTGAACAAGCATGATCGGGCCATGGGAATGGGGGGGATTTATGGGGTAAAAATTTTTAAATTTTGTAGACTCCATATCCATTCTTAAAATTATACTTAAGTGAGTGTACTAAATTGAAAACCAACAAATACATTTACCTCCTTGATTGCAGCGGTTCCAGTCACTTAGCATACAGACATTGCTGAAGGTACGAACACCTCTCTTAGCACTGAGACCACAAACGGGACGCCACTCCAGGTCACACTTGCCTGGACAAGGCTGTGACTGCTGTGCCTCCCCAAACAGCAGCAGACCTGATACATATCTTATTCAATGCTGAATATTATCCAGTCTTCCAGGGCTAATGTAGCATAGTAACGTGCTTTAAGAATGAATAAAGATTTATTTTGATTTGATGATAGAGCCAGCCCTGTTGTCCAGTTTGTACTATCCATCAACTAATGCATTACCTAAATAACAACTTTTTACAGATCCGTGGTTTGCTTGTACTCTGTAACTATGCTCCTTGCCACTTACTGACATCATTTGCGAACATAATGACATTTTAAGAATGAATTTTTACCAGAGTTAGTTTACAAGACAGCTGATTAGATTTCTCCACATTTTGGGAAATCTGCTGTAGGTAGATTTAATCGATTATTACAGGTAAAGCTTGAATACAAGGGTTTCCGTAAATTAACCATCAAGACCCTGGCGCAGACAAGTAAAGCTAGTTTAAATCTGAGACCAACCTAACGTTCCTCACTTTATCAACTACACTATTCTAACAGATTTCCACTCATATGGAACATTTGTCTTAGAATAGTATCAGTATCTAAAAATACTGTGACAGAAAATTGACACCCCATTCAAGTATAAATCGTGTTTGGTGTCGTGGTTAGGTAGGTGTCTGGAGGGAGAGGATCAGTTTTACATTACAGTTGCTTTACACAGTTATTTGATTGATTACAGTAGATGGTTGACGTATGTGTATGCGGAAAAGAGTTTCTACATAAAAACTGTGCCTAAATGGCTTGGGGAGTTCACAGAAGACATAAGACATAAGACATAAGACATGTTTATTTCCAGTAGACATATTACAAATGTATTGGAAGAGTCAAACATTTTTCATGCAGAGCAGTTGTCAAATTAAGAAGTAAGTTACAAAGTGTACTTTGAAGTCTACGAAAAAAGAAAATTGCATTTTAAGTTATTTAATTGGTCTTAAACTAATATCACAGAGTTTATCACTATTGAGAAGTAAAAACAACCATTTGAAAGTTAGCAAAACATTACAAAATTAGACAGGTTGTAGGCATTAGGTGAAGGCATAATAGTTAACACAATGACAAACTAAAAACACAACTTTGACGAAGGAAGGTCTAAAAACTCTTTGAATTCGTCAAAAGGATTAACAGCTATAGCCATTGGAACACTTTAAAAGAATTATATGGGAGAGAGAACATAAATGTAGGTATCTTATTAATACATTGCATGCCCACTATTTCATAACTTTTCTTAGATTTCTCCAGTCTAACATAGGGAATGTCAAGTTTATTTCTGAATCGAGTATTGTGCTGGTGGACATCTTTACGGCAGTTAAAAGCATTTAAATTCTTAAAACTAGTTAACAATAAATTTAAAATATACAAGTTAACAACAGTGAGAATTTTAAAATCAATAAAAATTGGTTTATGGTGTTCAACAACATCTACTTTGGCTATTATTCTTAGAATCTTTTTCTGAATTACAAGAACCTTTTTTACATGTGGGCTATTTCCCCAAAAAAATATTCCATAGCTTACTGCTGATTGGAAGAGGCCATAGTCATAGTAAACATTTAACAGACAATCTATTGGGATTACACAACTTAATTTCCTAAAGAGGCACTTTAATCGACTCAGCCTAGTACAAAGTTGGTTTATATGAGGCTCCCAAGACAATTTTTGATCCAATGTAACACCAAGAAATTTTACATGACTGTTAGACACTTTAGTATCTGGAATTTCCCTATGACTAAAAATTAGGTCCAAGGTTTTGTCCTTATTTAAAAGAAAGCTGTTAATACAGCGCGGCAGTGGGTTATCATCAGTTTCCATTGAGACAGTGATTGAATTTGAGGAAACTTTCTTGCTAATCAGCATGTTTCAGACTTTCAGGTCTGACCCTAGTCTTTGATAGTCTTATACATCTCCTATTAAAAGTGTCACTTTGCTTCCTGGTTTACAAATAACTATCAAGTATCAACATAGTTTACTTTGTTCAATAAGATGAACTTATCAGGAGATAGATCAGAAAATCAAAATATAAATATGAGTTTTGGAATAGAAAATTAACCACCAATTAATTTCCAGCCACATTGAAGCTAACGGAATATTTGTTATATTATTTAACAATAGTTTTGATCTCGCTATTTAATAGTATATTTTTACACAAGTTTATGTTTAAATTTCAAGAACTAGTTCAAGCTGTTAAACTCAGGTATTTCTGCATGGTTAGCTTTACCCCAGCAGGGAAGTCATGTATTTTAAAACTATGTACGCAACATAACCCGCTTTTCTTGTCCTAACATGCAGCTTTGTCAGAAAAATATTGTCTTGTACATAATCTTAACAGTGTAAATCATGAGATATTATTTTTACTTAATTAACAACTGATTAAAGGATATACCTTACACCTAGCTTGAAAACTATTCTTACATCAAATATACACAATAACACAATAAATAACAACATATTTTATAATAAAAATTAATTAAATGTTTTATCAATTGATAAAACAGTATAAAATCCAGTACCGTACTGTAAAGTATCTTTTACTGTCCCATATTTTTGTCCATTTCTGTGTCCTCATTACTGTTTTGACCTCTCAATTTTTCTTATTATGATACAACTTAAGTGCCTTTGCCTTTAGAAAAAGTGCTAAAATCTCCCGATATTTTGGGAATTTAATTTTGAGTCCAAGTTTCAGAGCATAAATTCCAAATGGGGATCGTTGGAAAGTTATGTTATATCAGAAAAACAGCAACACATTTTCATTCACATTAATACAGTGAACAATAACTTAATTTTGAATGCAACCTTTTGCAAAATCAACAACTTAGTAAGAGAACAAAACGTTCATGGTAAAAAAGATAACTATATGAATATTTAGAAATTATCAAGCCGAGTAACAATAACCACTACTACACTACACAAAAACAATCTTGTCATTGTACGTACCCTTATAACTCATTTCAGACAAACCTTCATTCTGAGCATGTACATTATGATGTGAACAAATAAACTTATGTGAGTTTAAAATATGAACATTTTTTACAATAAAAATTACCAAGAACTTTTTGTTGGAAAAGATATTTTGGTGATTTTGAATATTTCCTATCTCCATTACAATTGTGCAGCTACTATATTAACATTTGATTATGTTTGATACAAAGACAAACCAGATGTGGAACAACAGTACTTACACTTAAATATTTAGAATCTACTTACAAGCAAAAAAGATAACTGCTAGCAGCCTCATTTCACCGAGGAAGCTTTATATTTCAGCCGAGACTAAACTGTTAAGAACAGGTGTCAGGTGGGGTTATATATCTGAACTGATTGTAATTGGCAAGGAAATTGTATATTTGAGGAAATTATAGCTTAGGTCTGACTAGTTCAGCCGGCCTTCAAAATGTTGGCTTGATATGCCAATGTGTTAATTTGATCTTACCTTCATCGAAGTTGAATATTTTAGATAACTCAGTTGAATTTTTTTCACCCAAGGTCAATTCACATGCAGTTGATGAAATTTGCTATCCATACAGATACTAAGTATGGTCACGTAATCTTAAAACTTATTCACTACTGTATTGCTTTTCTGCCCAGGTATTTTGTTTTTCTGGCAAATGTTTAAAAGAGCTCTGGGCATAACTTTGTTTTCAGAAACTGTTAAAAATGCAAAAACAAATTTTTGTATGGAAAATAGTTGTTCAAGTGTATCTTGAACAACTATCTTCCATACAAAAATTTGTTTGGGGAATAGTATTTTTTAAGAATGCTTAATACTGAGTTTAATATATTACTACCTAAACAATTGAAAATATTAATTAATATTAACTATGGACATCATTCTATTTACTCTTCTCTCTTTGGTATATTTAGTTTTTTTTTTTCTTCTTGGTCCTAAAGAATATACATACTGTATAATAAACCAATCTCAATTGTATTGTGTTTCCTGGAACGTTTTAGAAGTTCATGTATCATATTGTGTATATTTTAGATTACTTTGTCTCAATCCCGAACCTCATTGGTCCGTACTATTGGTTTTATATTTTATTGGGCATTATAATTTCCTTCATTGCACAAAAATGTTGAGTGTGTAATGTAATTTTGTAACAATAAGTAAGGTATGTTAACTAATTGTTCATATTAATCAAAACAAAGTAACTATAAAGTTCCTCTAATCTGTAGCTCATATTGGACAGCTCAGTTAGCAGCCTATTATTATCAAGTCAGCTCTCAAGGTTCCAAGATTGAGTTTTTTCCTTCTCTGAATAATATTGTCAAGTCTTCTCTCAACATTTTACATCCACCAACACATACTTGCAATTTCTAGTTTTTAGAGTGTTTTATTTTCAATAGTCTACTAAGGCAAAGCCAAGTAACAGAAGTCTTTAATAACCTAAAATATTGTTACAATAAATAAATAGGCAACACAAATGTTATACTGGAAATTTCACTTTATTTTGACTCAAGGAATCACTGGGTAAATTATGTCCCACCCTTGTTTGAACAAATGTATTATATTATTCATGTAAAAATGGTGCAACCGTAACAAATAAATAAATAATTACTTATAAAATGTATGTTAGTTTGCCTATTACAAAAACTTATCACATGTGAATAATAAAAAGTTATGCATTCTGTATTTAGGAGAGTAGATAAACATACTGTATATATTTTTAATTTTTGGTCATCCAGAAATACAGTAAATATCACAAACAACCACTTTAAAATCATAAATATCCACTTTTTAGCATCAGGGTATTTTTACCGAGGGTTTTTTTAATGTTTTAATGCAACATATATTACAAACTACCCTCTAAACAACAAATTACCATATTTTTTACTAGTTTTGACATGACAAATCCAATTGATACTTTTTTAAATAACCACTTTTTGGGTATTTACCCAGGCCTCGGGTGAATACTCATTTATAAATACCCTACCCATTGGGTATTTACCTGGCCCACATCACTAACCCCATGGCATCACTTCAATGGCAGACAGGAAACTGACTTGAATGATACTAAAAATGTTTATACAGGTTGGGTGTATATGGGGTTAAGAGACAGGATTGCAAACTAAATTGTCTATACCACTCAAAAACACAGGTTATTTAAGGTCTATTTTGAGTATTTAATAACAAAAAACTAACACTTAAAAAATTTATAATTAAATTGTACATAAAAACTTAATAAATCTTCTGTGAAATATGTATGTAAGTATACTTTTTCCTACTGTCGCCCGACAAAGTGGGCTTCCTTGCTCGGATTAAAAAGTAGGGGAGGGTGGGCCACAGTGGAACAACTATATTTTTTTGTATTTGGCTAGTCTGCCAACTGTTGCACTCTGTGAGTGAACTCCAAAACTATTTATCTACCCATAGTGCATTGGTGCTGACATCTCTATGATTAAACTGGTGACATAATAAAGATGTTATTACTGGTTCCTGCTGAGACAGGATAAAAAAACGACTGCGAAGTCAATTTTTAAGTTCAAAGTGAATTTTGAATGTTTACTATAAACTAATTACTAGCAGAACCTTTGAAACAGTTAGTTTTTACATGGACACCATCTGAGGTTAATAAAAAAGATTTTTTGTACTGTATTTCTTTGATGTATTTTTTGTGGCCCTTTATTGGGCCACAGTGGAACACCTACATAAGTTTTGTATAAGAAGATGGTTAAACAGCTGTTTCCCGGACTAAATTCATGCATGATAAGACCGATAGATAAAAATTTAGTGTGGTGAAAACTATCTGGACATATTAAGATTCTGTATTTATGTTCTTGTGGATGTTTTAAGTATTATTCTCGGAGCAAAGCCCAATCATAAAGTTAGTAAATTGTATAAAACAATAGGCAGGGCCTCTAATAAATAGCCTCGAGCCCAGAGGCGCAAAAGTTAGCGAGAACAATTCCCTCGCAAGGAGGGGGGTGGAAGGGGCAAATATCTCTCAGGCCCATAGCGTGTCACATGCAAATTGGGGGCCTGACAATCGGCTACACAAAATAATACTAAATGAAATAATACTAAATACAATAATACTAATACTAAATACAAGGTTTAAAAAGCTTAAAAATAAAATTGCACTTAAATTTATTATTGCAAACAAACCCTTTAAAAATTTACAAAACAGGTAAATAAATAGTGTTTAACATTTAAAAAAACTAATGTCAACTCGTAAAATACTAGTTGAATGTAAAATGCAGTAGAACCCCTCATGGTTTCGCTGGACCTCATAAAATTCTATAATCGTTTTCTAAGAACAGTCATGTTCACTGGAAAAATGATATGTAAAGTATTAAAAAGTTAAAATATAAAATTAAAAAGGAACTTGTCAGGTACTTATGTTGAGAATTCTATGAATGGAAGACAAATTGAAACTAGCCAGACAGTTCCAAGGGGGTTCACTGTGCATTAATGAAAAATTACCACACACAACTAACATGATACCTAATTCATGTCAGAATTGCACCATAATAGAGTGACCCATTGAACAAAACCATACGGTACAAAATCGTTAATATATAATTAACGGCTTATTTATTTTTTACGGTAATAGATTCAGTCTGCTTGCTACAGTCAGACTATTGAGGAACTGCTATAACTTCAAAACAGTAACTAGATTTAAAACATGCCTTATAACTATAAGGTATCACAACTGGTATTAGGTATCACATAAGGTATTACAACTGTTAGGTATCATTAGTAGACTTGAGCAATTTTTTGGTTGCATTATTCATTTCCTCCTCCTATGATGTTGGATTCGGGTTTTCATTTGGTTTTGTGTACACAATCTTGACGTTTATAGAGAAGAATTCACCATCCTTCATCAAGTGGTCTTCTGGTGGTATGACGAAGACTTTTCCATTCTCGAATGCCTTTTCTTTTCCATGAGAGTTTGAACCCACCTAAAAAATAATATTCATAGGTACATTTTAGAATCTATGAATACCTTATGAACCTATGGTTGTTTTTCGTTGGTTTTTAAATCTATATTTCTGTAAAATTTCTTTGTTCTTTATTATTGGAAGAACAAAAAACTGCTCAGCCCTATAGGGATACAGTTTGCGAGTAATGCAGGATTGCAAGATGAGTTAACAATCTGAATATTCCTTCTTGAGATGTTCCACTTATCAATCAATTGCTTTGATTACTTAGCGAGAGGCTTGTACAGTTGAAATGTTTCTTATGATTGTTGCCAAAACATTAGTTAAGCCAAAACGTCTGTCTGCAACTGTCACGAGGAAGTTAATTTTTTTTCTAGATTTCTTATAGAATAGTATTATGTACAACACTGTATAAATACTGCTGACATATAGAATAAATAAAGACTTACGTCACTCAAGACGTATATAAGTATACAGGGTGAGTTTCTACTGACCGTGTTAACTTCGCCAGTGGGTTCTACTCACTAAAAGGAACAAAAAAGTTCCTATAAACCCATGTCCGATTTCCGACCGTTTGGCTGTTTTGGGGGATTTTGTGTTTTTCTTATTTTATTAGACTTTGCTCCACAATTTATGTAATAAAAACTTAACCAATTACTTTAGAGAGTTATAGATGAAATCATTGGAAAGAACATTAAATTTGCTATAAATCAAAGGTTTAATTCAACAATTATACCATTACATAGTCCACGTTATAACCAAAATAAAGTAAAAATGTCATTAAATTAATTAATTACGATAATTTTCATGGGCCTCCTTTGATACATAAACCTGCATTTATGCAATGTTGAAATGCATAAAAAACTTGACATTTTAATAATCTTTCAAATGATATGCTATTCAATACTATTATTGATATAAACCAGTGAGAAATTACTAATAAACTACAATAAAACACGGTTTACAGATTTTGTTTTTGCACAGTTTTACTGTTAATAATAATTACTGTATACTCCATGATGTATTTTATTGAACTATCTGATAAAATTTGTACATTATTTTAACTTTTAAATATTTATTAAAATTATCTGAATTAATAAAATGTATAAACTCAAGGTTTTTCACATTTTCAAAGATGTGTTTGATTCTTAAATGCTGTGTAATTAGTTTTACCTTGTGCTTGATTAAGTCAGCTTTTATTGATTTGTCATCTATAGCTAGATAACTCAGCTGCTTGAACATACCTTGTTGAGTAATTTGCTGTTTTAACTTTATATTTCCAAGTCAATTAAGAGTTTTTCAACATTTTATTAAAATATGGAGCCTTTTACCAATCAAGATTATGATGAATACAGTAATTATTATTAACAGTAAAACTGTGCAAAAACAAAATCTGTAAACCGTGTTTTATTGTAGTTTATTAGTAATTTCTCACTGGTTTATATCAATAATAGTATTGAATAGCATATCATTTGAAAGATTATTAAAATGCCAAGTTTTTATGCATTTCAACATTGCATAAATGCAGGTTTATGTATCAAAGGAGGCCCATGAAAATTATCGTAATTAATTAATTTAATGACATTTTTACTTTATTTTGGTTATAACGTGGACTATGTAATGGTATAATTGTTGAATGAAACCTTTGATTTATAGCAAATTTAATGTTCTTTCCAATGATTTTAACTATAACTCTCTAAAGTAATTGGTTAAGTTTTTATTACATAAATTGTGGAACAAAGTCTAATAAAATAAGAAAAACACAAAATCCCCCAAAACAGCCAAACGGTCGAAAATCGGACATGGGTTTATAAGAACTTTTTTGTTCCTTTTAGTGAGTAGAACCCACTGGCGAAGTTAACACGGTCAGTAGAAACTCACCCTGTATATATATTTAAGAAAGACCTCTCATTGGGGGACAATCCCTCACAAATACAATATAGAAATTATATGCTAATTGCAAATGCCGTACTAAACGTAACAATCACCATGAAAATTTAGATGAGGGGAATACGAGAGAAATGTTATGCTCGTTCTCAACTGAAACAATCGCCACGAATATCTCGTTAAAAACCCCTCGCTAAGCAAAAATACAATCGAAACATCTGTAGAGGTTCACACAATCAAACATTTTGATTGTAACATCGTTGATATTTTTTCAAACAGCACCATCACCTCTACAAGCATTGTTTGTAATAATTTTACCATCAATAAATTGTGCTGTTTTTGGGCCTTTCTTATCTGACTGCTAAGCTATACAGGGTGATCAACTCAAGGAGGCCACCATGGGGATTTTGGAAACGGTAAGAATTAGAGAAAACTTTAAATGGGGGACATTCCTTATTTTTTAGTGGCAGTTGAAAATTTGATTTTATTTTTTCGAAATTCAGCCGCCATTTTCCAAAATGGCGGCCAACTTTGAAATTTCTTATGGAACACCCTATATTTTATCATGTTTTCGGATAGAACAGGCAATTTAAAAACTTTTTTATTCTTGACATTTTTTCGATAAACCCACTCGTTTAGCAGTTACAGCCTATGGAAAAATGACTTCCGGTGTACATTTTACATCATGTAGCTCCTAAAAAAGTAGGTTTATAGCGAAAATGCGAAGAGTAAATAAGTCAAATAAGTCTTAAAATTGCATCCATATTCCAAAATGACAATAAAATACACAGTTTTCCTCTTTTCAAGCTTGCCGCCATTTTGGAAAATGGCCGCCATTTTTGAAATAATAGAATTAATATTTTTAACGAACTTTATGGTCTTTTTTGAATGTGGATGCAATTTTAAGACTTATTTGACTTATTTACTTTTCAAATTTTCGCTATAAACCTACTATTTTAGGAGCTACATGATGTAAAATGTACACCGGAAGTCATTTTTCCATAGGCTGTAACTCCTAAACGAGTGGGTTTATCGAAAAAATGTCAAGAATAAAAAAGTTTTTAAATTGCCTGTTCTATCCGAAAACATGATAAAATATAGGGTGTTCCATAAGAAATTTCAAAGTTGGCCACCATTTTGGAAAATGGCGGCTGAATTTCGAAAAAATAAAATCAAATTTTCAACTGCCACTAAAAATAAAGGAATGTCCCCCATTTAAAGTTTTCTCTAATTCTTACCGTTTCCAAAATCCCCATGGTGGCCTCCTTGAGTTGATCACCCTGTATAATTCAATTGCACAGGTGATTGGTTCATATAAATACTGACCATCGACAGTAGATTTTTAGCTTTTTGAAATGGCTGACTTGTGCTGAGCTATTTCAGTGTAATCATAATAGGATTGCATTTTTGTCGGCCCATAGAGTGCGAATGAGATTTGTGAATTGAGATTTGTGCACATGGTCAAAATTGTAATATTTAGATGTTTGTAAAAAGACGTTAACTTTAAAGTATGTATTTCAGAATTAATTACGCGTTGGTTACAATTCTGTACTACTAACTTTTACTAGGCATAGCATGATTACGCACACTAGGGCGCTTGATGTAGTGAAGTAGCAGTGAATGCATCGAGGCAGTATAACATTTATTTAGAAAAAAAGTTGGCATTATTGGTAGCTTCTGGGTTTCCGTTGGACACTTCCCAGGGTGTCCACCAGGCCAACCAGAAAAAAAATCATGAGTAATTCCAGGTAGTTCAGGTCGTACTTTTCATACTAAACTTTCCAACGCGTTTTTGCACCAACTCCCGCAATGCTGTTTTAGCGCTAACATAGTTCGCTATTTTAGTTATCGGAAAAAGCATTCTCAGTTTAAGAAACAAAATTTATGATTACTGTAATACTGCCTGAAACAAGTATATAATTTTTATATATTACTGATTAAATAATTAGATAATTAAAACTAATCCTTAAACCTGCAATTTATCAATAACTTCTTAAAAATTTAACGAATCTCAGTACTGACACTTAAAAATAGATTCTTAATACCAATGATTTTAATTTTACCAAATTTTCTGTAAAGCTGATGGGTTTTCCTAGACGCAGAAGCGCAGTACGGAGAGGGGAATACGGAGAGCGGACTCCTCTTGTCTTAGGTAATTTAATGTTTCTGTTTTTCTAGAAGCGGAGCGGAACGACATGTTAATCGCTTTTCCGCTCTCCGCGTTCCTCTCTCCGCACCTAGGAAAACCCAGCTAAAGGATTACTACACCAACCCCTGTCTTTATGTACTTTCATATAACATGAAATTTTGGAGTTATGGGTTGTTTTTCAAGTGGCCTACAGAAATAATTAAATTTAAGTTTTAAACTCTTCTAAACACATTAAATAAACACCACGTTAAAGGTATAAATGAAGATATTACAAAAAATACAGCATCCTCGTATCCCACGATCACGGAAACATCATTGTCGTCTCCCGCTGTCCAGGAAACGCTATTATCATCATGGGCGATCTCAGCAAAATCATTAAAAAGTCCCGCGGTCGTTTTGAGTTTGGATATCATAATCGTCTTCCGCGGTCACAGAAATATCATTGTCGTCTCCCGCTGTCACGAAAACGTCATAGTTGTCTCCCGTGGTCACGGAAACATCTTCGTCGTCGCCCACCGTCCCAAAAACGCCCCGGCCGTTTGGAGTTTGGACATCATCGTCTCCCGCGGTCAGGGCTGGATAGAGGGTGGGGCAGGGGGCACCAGAGCTCTGGGGCCTGGGGCTCTGAAAGGCGGCTGGACACTTAATCAGGAAAATATGGAGCCCGGGAACGCTCAGTCCAGGGGCCCGTGACAGTTTTTGCCGAAAATATCAGTGGTGTAGAAGAGCCGCTCTGCTTCATCCAAAGAACTAATATCACTTGTATTTTTCTGCAACAATGTTGCGCTACACAACAGGTAGGCCTATGGTTTAAATAAATGTCTATCCTTTTACTAAAATCCATTGGCTGTCTGGCTATCATAAGGTTGATCACAGAAATGAGCAGGAAACCATCTTGATGAATAAAGATGATTTGTATTGTATTGTATTGTATAACCACTAGTGTACATGTTGCTCGAAATCGAGCAATTGCAAAGAAGTAAAGTAGTTTCAGTATTTAAAGACAAATAACTTATTAATAAACGAATAAAAGTCATAATTTCCGATGAGCTTAAAAGACTCAACTCATAGATTACGTACCTAATAGTTAGGCCTACATATAATCAACATTTCTTGTAAATATTTTTTATTATTTTTCAAAAGCTGATCTGGTTTTTTAGTGTATTCTACAAATCTTTCCCACTTATAGCCACATTAGGTTGTCCATGTTGATCTTCGTCAATGATAATGTAGTCTGCATAGTACTACCCGTTGTCGCCAGTACGTTTACAATTTTCAGTCATTTTTTATAGCGATAACATTTTGTTTACATTACTTAATAACTGCCTGATTTTTTGCATAACCTCTCTGCCACAATTTTATTTGATTCAATTGGTATTAATTTGGCTAGTTACTATTATAAAGTAAGTTATATTTACCTGGAAAAAAAATGCAGAATTGACAGGCCTAATGTTGTTCAGATGGTTTTTTGTATCCCTTAAATGTGAATAATGGAAATCCTTCAGTGAAAATTTTATTAAGGTTTCTTCCGTAGTCAAATTATTTTAAAATCACTTGACTTTTATGACAACATATATTTAATGTCCTTGCCGTAGGGGAGAGTGGGGCACATTTGAACACTTTTTAAACTTTAATTTTTTAATTGGTGAATTTATGTGTTTTCAATAAAAACATTATTACATTTAGTCGTAACATAATGTTTGCTTTAATTCAGTTACTTTTTAAACCCTTCAAGTTAACATGTTAATGTGCAATATCTGTTTTCACAAAGGTATGCAAATTGTTCAAAAGTACCCCACTGGTGGGTACAACAAGTGAACAAGAAGTGGGGTACAATAAACACACTAATTAAGTAAAATGAAAATTTTTATTTTACAGACATTGTTATGCATGTGAGTTGATAAAAACAGTTCTTATTTCTATTGGAACTAATTCTTCATTTAATGTTTTAGATTCACATTATTTGTAGCTAAATGTTGCAAAGTTAATAGCAAAATTAAATTCACTCACTGCACGTATAGTTCTCACACTCATTGTTGGTTGAGGAAGCTTATAGTCTTAAATTATTATTATTCATTACTGTCTTGTATAGAAAACAAATATAATTAGTTGGGGTACATTTGAACAACATGCTTACCAGATGAAAACATGGTGTTCAAATGTACCCCTCAGACTCTGTTCAAATCTACCCCACTAGGCACCATTTTGCAAAAAGTTAAATTATGTTTTCTTGAATTGTAACTTATTAATGTGAAATGCATAATTGTATCTAAATATGTATAAGCCATAAGGTAAATGGATCAAACTTATCTGTAACGTGGTTTTTCTATGGAAAATTTACAAATCCCTACTGCTAAAAAAGTTTTCTTGTGGCGCTCTAAAACATCTTTTCCCTACAACAAACTAAGAAGTGATCAGTAATGGAGGATGAATGCAACGTGTTGTCCTATTTGAGGGCTACATTTTACAGCTGGTCCAATGGCCTGTGAGTATAACAATGACGGCAAATTTAAACCGTTCAAATGTGCCCCACTCTCCCCTACCAGTTTAATTCAGCCTTAGAGCGTTTTCCTTTGCCAATCATCATAAAGTTAAGTCCGTGTTTCCTACAAACACTTCGGCTAATATCCTTGTTCATTGTTTGTGGGGATTTCCATATTGTAGGTGTTCTTCATTATATAGGATGATAACGATAGTAAATGGATTTTTTTTTAAATCTCTATTTCTTCTACTTGGTAGTGTTCCATGACTTTCCTACGTTTCCATGGTTAAAAAATCGGTTTTTTCAATGATTGCTCAAGAAATACAGTAGCCTACCCTGTCAATTGATTTTTCATTTTTCTTTTTTTTTTTTGTAAAATATCAAATTGCCCAGGCTTTCTCGATTTTTTACATTGTAATATGTACGAATGTAAATTAAAGTAGTAAATATTTAATTTCAACAAAATCAGTAAATGTACCCAATGTGTTTCGTTGAATATAAAAATAAATAACAGCAATTAAATTATACAGCTGATCAAAATGTAAACAATTATGTTCTTTATAAGGATAACATGGGAACTTTCACAGCCACTGGGGCAGAGCCCAAGAGACTTTTTAAAAAATGTATGGCCAGTTTGCAAATCTACGTGACACGCTTTTTCCAATGAGACGTCAATGGATAAAATCGGTTAAGAAATGGCGGAGGAGTTCAACCGACAAACTTTGTGTTCTCGTATTAATTATATAGATTGTCAAAAGGATCTCAATATGGTTCATCAAGGCTCTTGGATCTGAGAAGGACGAGGTCCTAAGAATGAGTACACAACTAGTATAATTACACTGAAAATATTGTCAGGGCTGAAAAGTTTGAGAAATTCTAACTTCCATTTTTAACTTACCTTGCTACTGAAAATCAAATTTTTGGTCTTGTCGAGTTCTTTGGTAAACACCAATTCACATTGGAAAAGAGAGCATTGTTTTAGTGGGGCTGGTACAGAGATCCAACAGTTAATGTATTGATCCGGCAACGTTTCAAGGTTGAGGAAGAACAATCCCAAGTTTGTTACACTAAAAGCTCGATGATATTTTGTCTGGTGTTTTCTGTAGCAGAAGTTCTCAAACTTGTGTGTGAATGTAGTAGTTGTGTTCTTGAACTAAATGAACAAAATAAAATTCTATTAGTACTAGTTCTGAGCTGTTATAATAGCTAAGCCTAATAAGTACCGTAGTAGTAATTCATTTAATGAACACAGAAAAAGCCAGTGGCGTAACAGAAGGGCCCGCAGGGCCTGCAATGCGGGGGGGCCCGCGATCTGGTGAGCAGGGAGGCCCGTGAGACGAGTGGGGCCGAAAAATTTGAGTTCATTCATATTTAAATGTATTATCAATCATTCAATAATTATGTATTGAACAAGTCATAACATTGATGTTATTAATAATTAATTAATTAATTAATTAATTAATTAATTAATTAATTAATAATAACGAACTAGGGTAACACATTTAACATGTTATAACGTGGGTCTTTGATTATTATGCAGACTTACTTTCGTCACCGAGAAATCTTTTATTTCTCAGTGATTTCGTACACTGCTTAAGTGTCGTCTGCAAACATTTTGTTACTTTGAAGCCTGGAGTCATGAATGTTGGCTGGGGCTTTTAATATTGTATTATTTTACATTTTAGTTTTGTCCTAATATTGATTGTATTTTGTTAAATACAATATACTGCTACTCTACTGACTGTGTTTGTTAGGCGATATCTTATTTTACCTCACAATTAACCAATACTAAAGACATTTGTTGTAAGGTAAACGCTTGAAATCCATACAAAGATAAAATTTTAAAAATGCAATAGGCTATATTTTAGCCTGTGATAAAAGTACGTCAATCTATTAAATTAACCAGCTTTTAGTGTATGAGTTAATTATAACCAAAGATTAAACTAACCTAATAAATTAATACTTTAATACTGTACTTTGAAATGGCGACCATACCGATGTAGGTATTTTAAGCCAAGAATTAATGGAGATGATTGTAGGATGAGTGGTGCAACCTTTTAGTTTTGAAAGGGACTAAGGCCGACATATTCCTTAAGACACAGCTGTTAATTAATAGCCAATACAGCCAAAGGCAACTAAGGGGCCTAAGGGGGTTAGGGGAATTCGAACCACATCTTTGCCTTGTAATTAACGAATTAGTCTAATTATCAGAGTAATAAAAATGGATAACATGTGTGATAAATTAAATGTAAAATTGTTAATCGCCTTGATATAAACATTCTGATACACGGATGGAAAATAAGGTTTTTTTATTTGATTTCAAAACTATTTACGAACACTGATATTGATATACCGGTAATGATGTAGTGATGTAACATTTTCATCAAACCACAACTGAAATACTTAACACACCCTTTTATGGAACTAAACCCATAATTTAATATTTTAAATTAATATTTAATATTTTAATTTAATATTTTTTTATAATTTAGTTACCGGTACCACTCTTTTTATGATTTATCTGTTTCATCATTTTATCAGTGGTCCAAAAATAACTCTGGGGGGAGAGGGAGGGCGTGTGATTATGTTGTATCGGTGGTCTAAAAATAACTCATGAGACGGGGGCCCAAAAAATAAGTTTGCAGGGGGGCCCGTGAATATTTGTTACGCCACTGGAAAAAGCTTTCTAGTTTCGAAATCTAAAAACTTGGATTGGGACAGTGACGTCATCCTGTAATCCAGCTACTTCACGAATTGTGAATATTTATATGCATGCACTGTGGATGCGATACTCCCTGGTGTGGATTAACGTCCGCACTCTAGTGAGTACTACAACTGCCCGCAGTGCTACCCTGATAATTAGACCAATTTGTTAATTGCAAGGCAAAAATGTGGTTCAAATTCCACTATAAACTGTAGGTTCCTTAGTTGCCATTGGCTGTAGGGGCTATAAATTAACAGCTGTGTCTAAGGAACATGTCGGCCTTAGTCACTGACAAGACTACAAGATCACGCCACTCGTCCTAAACTCATCCTTCACTCATATGTGGGTTAAAATACGTCCCTCGTGGAGTCCCCATCTTGAATAATTGATATAGAATCCAAACTTTAGTCCAAAATACTATGGTCTAAGCCTATCTTAAGTTAATACATAGATAAATCACCAAAAGTACCACACATTATGTGAGCAATATTAGTATACTAGAATAATAGGCCAATACATGGTTGTTCGGTCTTCACCTTTGGTGTGATTTTTCTATTGTGTCACATATTTGGAGACGCTGTAAATTTAAAATAAGAAATCTCTCGACCTTCACACTGCCAAGGCTGGACACGGACTGACCTGCTGTACCAAGGCCACACTAAAAAAACCGGCCGTAATGCTGGTCAAGCATGACGTCACGATAGAAGACGGCAATGACGTAGGTATTTATATATTTATTTTCCAAGGAAAGATTAAAACAAGCAGCTGATCACAAACGGCAAACATTACGTCATTGCCGTCTTCTATCGTGACGACATGCTTGACGAGTATTACGACCCTGCTATTTTAGTGTGGCCTTGGCTGTACACTTATAACTGTTGTATAATTGCACCACACTACCCCTGCTACCGCCTATACAGTTAACACATGGAGGTTACTTTCCAAATGGCGATCGATAAGCATAACATCTCGATAAGGAACATTTTGATTGGTTACACATGTCGCAATCGCGCATCACTAATACAGAGCTGTACAGGTGCACAAAACCTTATAGCACAAAACCTTAGGAGCTTTAAGGTTTATGATGGCCATCTGTTTTGAGAAAAAAAGTCGACTGTACCACCCACAATTATTATTTTTGCTTTGGCAGGAACAAACAACTTTACAAAAAAATAATTATAAACCTGTATGATACAATATATATGATGCAATATAATAGTTAAATGCCATTGATCATGTAACTTAAATGGTAACGATTCCTTTCAAGCTCCCAGGGCAGTATGATTTACTGCAACGTTTTCTTACCGTGTCAAATAGGTGTGGATGTACTTTCTTAATGTGTGCAAACAAAAGTGTGACAGCCATTTCACTTCTGTTACAACATGATTCTAACAAACACTTGTACATTCCTGTGGGGTTTGGCAGTCGTTTGAGTTGATTCACTTCTTCACTGACTGCCTTTTTATTTAAGTAGACGTTGATTTGTTCATTCAAATTATTTATCACATCTCCATCTCCACTACCCTAAAATAACAGAATTAATAATAGTAAACATAAAGAAAATGTGTTTAATGTTAATATTAACACTGAGAGATGTTTTATTTATAACTAGGTAGGGTATTTATGATCTGTTATAAGATCAGTATATAGGCCCTACCAACCTACTACATCTGCGAGCAGGATGGTTTGTTTCAAAGGCTGTTTGATTTTCAAACAAAGCACATAGGGCCTATACATTTCTTATAGATTTTTACAGAATAAGATTTGGCCAATAGGCTACACGAAATAAGACTTTACCGTCGCATAACTTAGTTAACCCTGATTTTTAATTGTATGGTAGTTTAAGGCCAGGCATTTGTGTTGGCTACAGAAGAAAAGTGTGTAAAAATTATTTGGTTTTGTGTCTAGTTGATTAATTATTTTCCCTAAATGATTTAGAGTATTAGGCCTAAGTGCATGTCACAGCATGCCAGTCAAAATCGTATTGGATCGCTCCCTCGTAAAAATGTCAATTCTCTCCTCACTGGGTACCAACATATTGCCTCTAGATAGGGCCTGCAGACTTTTCTCAGGAGCCTTCTGTATACTAGAAGCGAGCACTACAGTTACTGAGCTACCCAGAGCTTAGCAAATAGCAATAGGGAGTCTAACTGGCATATCAAATACCCAACCCTGGTCAGCTTGGATTGGAGGGTATTTTGTAAACTTAGGCATGAGGAGGGTTTAGTGAGGGTAACTTAAGTCAATGTTTTTGAACCGTCAATGTTTTTCTATCGATGTTCGATGTTTTTTTACATAGATGGTAGGTTACCAATGTTTTTGTGTTACATCGATGTTTTTGTCAAACATTGATGTTTTTGGACAAGTAACTTATTGAGATATCGATGTTTTCCATTAGGCCTAATGTAGAGTACAAAAGGCAGATGATATACACAAAAAAAATATCATAAAACATTGATGTTTTAGTCCCATAAACATTGATTTTTTCGCAACGATGTTTTCGGTACATCGATGGGTTACCATCGATGGTGAACATTGACCTACCGATACTCATCCCTAGTATTTTGGCTCTTAAAATCTGAGAAAAACCTGAAAATCGTTGGGCTAAGAGCTTTTACAGAGTAAGTAACTTAATCTGCAAAATTAAAGTAGCCTAATTCTTACTTTTAATAGGATTGAGAACTTGTTTGACAGTGATTCTGCTAGATAATTTCGACAGCTAGTTATCGATGCCTTGCATGTTGGACATGTTTGAAGTCTCAATCTACACCTTTCACACATGTGATGCCCAACTTTACACATAAAAATAATTGATGGTGGAATTTCAAAGCAAACTGGGCATTGTAAGACGCTTTCTATATCCAGATCAACTAAAATGTCATTCGGAGAACTCATCTTGCAGGATCTTTATCTTTGCCTCAAGTAGAAACAACGTCTTCCTATCCTTACCCGGCAGAAACAAAATCCAATAATAAATAACTAATAAAAAAACAAAACAAGTAAACGGGAACGGGAACCCTAGCAAACGATAGGTTAATTCCTGAAAATTTGGCACTTAAGACACTGTTTGTTTGGTTTTTGGTTAGTCCAGCTCCCGTACCGTAGGGTCGTCGGCGTAGTTTATTTAGGTACATCAGCTGTGAGCTGAGCCCTTAAGGAAGAGAAGAAGCACCAACAAGACAATAATAATCAATGTTGCCACCCTGGACCCATGGAAATTCGCCCTCTGGATAGGAAAAATCCACATTTTATCCTCAGTTAAAGCAAAAATTCTAATAATAATCCTCCAAGTCATAAAAATCAAAATAAAGCCACAAATTTTCCTCTATTCAACCGCCAAATTCTACTTAAACCCCTTAACTGCCACTTATCTCCAATTCATACCTATCTATGTTATATTAGTGCGAGGGTAAAAATTCTCTCTACTCTAACACGTTTATCCACTCCATATCAAATGTATAGTAGCCTATCTTTTTCCTACTTGTAGATAAAACACTGTTAACATTTTTCACTTCGTTTACGTCACTGTTACATATTATTATCATTGTTTTTTAGTCTTGTCTGTCAAATATATTTATATTTTTGCTTGTTATTGTTATTATATTGAAATATTTATCAATTCCCTAGTGGAAGAGATCAATATATATCAATACAAAAATTGTGTATTGATACTTATTGATACGTATGTGTATTTGGGCCAATACACATTAATACATATCAATACAAATAAAATAGGATCCGAGTCATTAGCTTATTTGAAAATAATTTTTAGCTTGTTAAAAACCCATTTTTAATTTGTTTCAAAACATTAAATAATATCAACTATGCACTAAAAGTAAAATAAAAATTAAAAAGTAAAAAAATTCTTAGCAAAAAGTTTAGTGGGTTCCCGTGAACCGGGGACTCCAGCATGGAAGCCGGTTGTCTTAGCCATTACACGACGGACGCTTCATGTTGGATTGAGTAATGATAGCCATATTGAATGCGAGAAGCTGTGTTAGGCCTCATAATTAACTTGAAAAAGATTTTCAATGGCATTTGTGTCATTTCAAGCATGTACCTACACTCTACAGTATATGCTTTAACATGTTTAAAAACTGTTTTATTACCAGTTAAAACTGTTTTCTTGCTACTTGGGTGATATGAATAGTGTCAATATACAATTTCCCAGACAGCACACTTTCTCCTCAGGACATCCCACGGATATTGCGACAGGATATGCAAGATATCCCATAGTGGTCCTATGGTCAACTTGGGATATCACAGGATATCCACAGGAATGCCTAATGTCCCCGCCCGGGGATGTCCTACGGATAAGCTCACACGCATATCCGTGGGACATCCGAGGTCATCCCAGGGTAGTCCTCAGGACATTCTCAGGACATATGGGACTACTATGGGATGTCCCTGGGATAAAGTGTGGTCTGGGCCTGAACATAAAAAACACAAAATAATATAGATTTAGTATGAAAAGCTTAATTATAAGTTTAGTAAATTGATTAAATAGTTAATAAACACAAATTTTGAAGAAAAAAACGAGAAAAAAGTTTTTGGCCCAGACGGGTTTCGAACCTGGTACCTTCGCCTTGTGAGCCTCTTACCTTACTTCCTGAGCTATCTGCGCTTGTTGATTATGGGTGTTTTCAAGTGGTTAAAGAGTAGCCGACAGTTGCAATGGTCGCAATACTTAAAATATTTTTGATACTACAATATAGGCTATATATGATTCTGTTAATCTGTTTAGGCCTCAAGTAGTTGAATTGTTTTTCTGGTAGTTGGAGAGGATACTGGTATTTGAATATAGATTATTTAATCACCATTAGATTAGCACTGTAATAATTGATTGTTATATGATTAAAATTAGTTTTTTGTTGTTTTATTAATTTAAAGTTAGAATTAAATTCACATTCCACACAACTATGATAGAACTCTAGTTTTCCTGAACTCAGTGGTAGTAATATGTCAGTAAAGTAAAGTCAACCCTTGCTAGCCATAGTATTAACAAGACATATTTTCAATCTGGGAAACCTTAAACTTTTAAAATAAATTATAAAACCTCAACATCTTAATGCGTGGGAATCTTATTTTTAGAAAAAAAAAACAGACCAAAATTATTTGTTAAATAATGAAGACGGCCCAATTATAAATTCGGAATTACTGAAAATAATTACATCAAGAACAACACTGTAACATATCCAAAATTCAAAAGATTAATTTTTCTAATATTATTTTTTATTTTTCCAATATCCTTTAAGTCATCTGTTTTAACTTTGTTTAAAATTAATTTATTGAGTAAATATTTACTTTTTGTACTAGTGTAAACACAGCCTGAAGATGGAAACCAAGTTTCTGAAAGCACTAGTGAAAAAATCAAATTATTATATATTGGCCTTGTTGAACATTTAAATTTAGATATACTGTACATTTCATCAGTGGTAGTATTTTTTTTCTTCAGTTTGTTACCGGGACATTACAGGATATCCAGTGGATTTTGTACATGTCCCGGGATGTCATGGGACATTCTGGGATATCCTATGGCATTCGTACATATCCCGGGACTTTACAGGATATCCTGAGGTTAACTTACAAATCCCGGGACATTACGGTATATTGTAGGATATCCTGTGGATTTCGTACTCGTCCCGGGATTTTGCGGGATATCCTGAGGATAGCGCACATATCCCAAGACATTCTCAGGACATATGGGACTACTATGGGATGTCCCTGGGATAAAGTGTGCTGTCTGGGTTATTTTTATTGATTTCTAGAAATAAGGAATTCAATAATGAATTTGTGAGGCATTTTTATCCCTAACGATAACCCAATAAGCAAAAAAATTGTTTAAAGTTGTCGAAAGCTGTATTACAATAATTGTTGTATAACAATTTTAAAACATTTTGATATAAACTTCATATTACAACAATTTTGATATAAGATTGAAACAATTTTAAAATTGTTTAACAATAAGTTTTTTGGAGTTGAAAAAAATAAGTTTCAATACGAGCTGTAACTGTTTTACAACAATTTTAAAATTGTTTTACAACCACTTTTTTGAAGTTTAAGAAAATCAGTTTTAATACAAGTTGTAAACTGTTTTCAACAATTGTAATGTTTAGCAATCAGTTTTTGGCAGTTTAAAAAATAATTTTTAATACAAGTTGTAACTGTTTTACAACAATTTTAATGTTTAGCAATCTTACAACAATTTTAAAATTATATATTTTTAAATTACCTATATTGAGTTTTAGGTACCTCAGCTAACGCCTATGACCTAGAACTAGAGTTTTTCCTTTTTTCAAAAAATACCATTTTTATTACTGTTTATTTCACAAAGTTTACATTGGTATTTTGTATAATCCATTATGTTCATATGTGATACATTTTAGAGATATTTTGCATTTTATTTATCCGTATTGATGTCTATTGATTTTATATTTACATCTAACATATTTAAAAAATATTCTCTATTGATATCAATGAACGATTTGTTTGCTCAAATGATCTATATTGATATATTTTATGTTTATAGATGTCTAGTGATATGTATTGACCAAGTTTTCAGTGATGTCTATTTGTTTGTATTTACTTGTAATGATATCCATGAACATCTATTGATATCACTAAGCATCTAGGGATATCAATAGATTTTTTCTATTGATTTCTATTGATGTCTTCCACTAGGGTTGTTATCTAGTTTTGATAATCGTTTTTTTTTCTCTAAAAATGTTCATGCATGTTAACTAGGATTTGTGTATGATCCAATCTTTGTCAATGCATTTTTGGTACAATCCTGTTGATGTCATTTTTCATGTTAGAAATCTTTTTATTGTCTAGCAAGATGAATCTGAATCTAACATATATATATTTATAAATATCTATCTTGTAACTTGCCACTCATGTATATCGATTGTAAAAATGGTGTTTACCGTATGAATAAATAAATAAAACCACACCGCCATTACTAAGGAGGTACTGGTAACATTTTTAAGATTTCCTTCTTAATCGATTCTTCCTAAATTCAACGGGGATTCTATTGATCACGGACTTTCTACTCCTCATTCATAATAATTTTATAAGTTTGATATTATAATTTAATAGCCTACTTTAAAAAGGGAGTTTTAATCAATTATCAAGTTCCATGCCTAAACTTCATCGTTATGGGAACTGGGAGCACTGAATCTCAGCATTAGGATTTCTCCAGGGCAGTTAAGCTGCACTACAATAAAAAGGAGTTTATCCTATTTTGAAAAGGTTGCCTGTTTTAGGTTTGTTTTTGCACATCAAAGTGTGGGGGGGTACGTGAACCATGGCTTCCTTTAGCTCTTAAAAAATACACCAATGAATATTTATCATAATATGAATACAAATAAGTTTTATCTCTAGAAGCTTAGAGAAAATTCGAAACCAGTTTATGGGCTTACGCCAGTGCTCGATTTGTGGGGGAACGTGGCAGAACGGTTATCAAGGGAGTTACGCTACCTCTATTTAAAGATAAAAATATTGGCATAAATAGGGGGTAGTGGAATTTCACCCCCTGAGCAAAACTGATGTCACATACAAGGGGGTAAAATTCCGGCCGTGAACTTTTCAGTTGCACAATATGAGTTCAATAAATTAAAGGTGCAATTAAACGTATATCTTCATGGTTGTGAATTTAATCAGAACACATAAAAATTATAAAACCTAAGAGTGTACGGACCGGAATTTTACCCCCTTCATGATGTCAGCTCAAAATGTACGGCCCGGATTTTTACCCCAGGAATTTTATAACCCCGGTCATATATAGAAATCAGTGAGAATAATAAAATGTCTTCGAAATAAACGTTTTTCCACGGTAGTTTGATAAATATTATAAGAAATGTTTAACCAATTACCATTCAAATGGACTACTCAGTTTGTTTACACACATATTAACTAACAGTTGGTCCTAAAAGTCTAATCCTGAAAATCAAATATCAAGATTAACCTGTTTATTTAGTTGAGATTACAAATAAATTAAGATAGGCTACTAAATAATAAAATGTTTAACTACTAAAGTAAAAAATAAAAGACCAAGCACTTATCTTATCTTAAGTATTGTCTTCTATAGTGTTGTGTGTTATAGTCCACTGTTTTTAAATTTGGTAAATATTTCACAAAACAGATTATCTATTTTGTGATATGTGTAGGTGTATAGTGTATTTAATATACTATAAACTTTTGAAAATTATGCGGTTGGCGGTTGTCGGTAGAGTATTATTTTAGTGTTGACCAGACAATGTTGGCAATACTTCTCTTCTTCTCTACTATACCCTCCTCAACCCGATTGGTTGCTAGTTTCTATTGGACTTATTATTATTATTATAATTGATGATTTATTGAGTGAAAATTTAAAAACGTAAGTTTTCAGAAATAGTTATTTGTGTAACTAGTGAGAAAAGTGAGCAATTGACTCACTCGAGAGGAAATCCTTACTCACGGTTTCTCGAGTGAGGCAATTGTACTTTGAACTCGAGTTGACCATTATACTTTTCCTACAGTTACCATAAATATAAATGGTATACAGTTACCATAAAACAAATAAATTGGTGAAGAAACATAACCTATTTTTACACAGAAGTGAACTTTTAATATAACATTTAACGTGAAGTGACAAATACAACAGTACAACAGCTAACCAGCTGATTTACAGCCAGTGCTGCCAACGTATTTCGCACGCATACGACGTTGCCTGCATGTTACGCGCTCACTATTTCGTGCCCTCACGTTGCAAATCTGGAGTGAGACAAAGTAATTAGAGTGAGACAATGTCTCAATTGTCTCACTGATGATCGAATTGGCCACTTTGCTTTCTCAAATCAGTGAGAGAACATGTACATTGTTAGGTAACTGTAGGAAAAAGCACTTTAAAAATTTTTTGTTCCGTTTTTTGAAACTTTTTTTATTTTAGCGAACTTCCCTATAGGGAAGTAGCTATTACCGTAGGTGGCATGGTAAGACCTAGGCCCGGGACCGATTTACTTTTTCATTTTGATGTCCCCAGAGGCCAGAAACACCATTCGTTCAAATTTTTATATATGTATACATATATATATATATGTGTCCGTGAACGCAATAACTTGAGTAATTTTTGTCCGATTTTGATGAAATTTGGTTTAAAGGTGTAAGGAGGGATAAACTTGAATGAGTTCGCGAACCAGCATGATCGGACCATGGGAACGGAGTCTTACAGGGGGTTTTATGGGGTAAAAATTGGTTGTTCTCATTTATGACCCTCAAAACGCAAAATTTCCCAATTTCTTTCTTGACCTTTTTAAAGAGCTTAAAAAAACAAATAATTTAGTATATCAAAGTGTTTTTGTACGGTTTCTGGTAACGGAGAAAATTTAAAAAATTTAAAATTCCCATGTTATTCTTATGGAGAATATTGTAAAATGTTTTAATTTGCTTGTTTATGGATATATTTTGATCAAACTTAGCAATTTTATTTATTTTATACTAAGCTATTAATATTTTACTAAAAAACACATTTAAAAAACCCCCTAGCAGCAAACCTAGGTACTTGTTAAACCTAATGTAATTTAAATAGATTTAATTGAAAATCATTTCAGACAAATGGAAATTCACTTAGTCGGCAGGTTTGCTGCGGCGGGGGTATTTTTTTTTATTTTATTGACATTTTAAGTTTCATAAAATATCCATGGTAACGCAATATCTTTGGTGATTTTTTATTAATAGAGTATCTTTGATGGAAAAACATAAAATTTTGTCTTGACCATCACGGACATTATACTGAATATTAAAAATAGTTAATATTATTTTTATAACTATGTTTTGCTATAAATTCATTTACTTTTATGGCCATTATACAATAAACAGCTCACTAAGCTTTTGGTATATTTGGTCTTTCTAGAAAAAAATAAAAAAAACAAAAAAAGTTGAAAAAAGCCAATATAATCTTTTAAGTTTGTATAACTCCGAAAAAACTTACCTGAGACCCGAAAAATCATTATGTTTTTATAGAGGTGTGCTTCTTTTGTGTATAAAACATTGAAATATGATGATATTTTAATTTTTGATATCTGGAATAATCTAAATCTTTCTAAACAATCATTCAATTATACTGTTAGTTATAATAAAAATATGTGTTTCAATTGAACTAAACTGTTAAATTTACAATGATATTTAAGTTATTGTCACGACCAAACACAGTATAATCCATAAGGCTGGATTGGTGGTGAAAAAACCTGCGATGGTCGTGAAACTTTGGTCGTGACATTACGTGTTATTTGGTTCTGTTCTGGCAGTAGCCCTGCACCTCATGTTCGAGGATACAAAGTGGACTTCTAGGTTAATGTAGCAATTGAAATATCATATCAACAAAAATTAACACCACGTCTACTTCATCAATGACTAAGTACGGTCATGGACACACCAAAATTACAAAAAACACAAACTTACCTTTATTAATCTTGAAACTACTTCTTTCAACACAAAACAACCAGCACAACAAACTTGACGTACACCCCCAACTAGTGTCTAAAACGAACTGACGCAATCGAAGCCAGGCTTGCCACTGTCGTGCTCCAAAGTTTAAAATTTTTTCCCAAATGGTCGTGACGCCAAATCAAGGGACAGACTTATTTTGTCATGGTAGTCAGTTTGCAATGACAATAAAATTATAATATGCTCCTTTTTTGTAAGTTCAGTAACTATTGATGACATAAAAATATGGCTTTATATATTTTGGCATGAATAATTAGTCTAAAAACAGCGTGAAAGTTGGAAAATGTACCCTAGAGACACGTCATGGTCGTGAATTTTGAGACTTTACCATATAAATGTGTGTAACATGTTGCCCCCGTCCCAAAAAATATTAAAACACATAATAATAAACTACAAATCCAGTATCTACGAAGTAAAAGGCCAGGGACATGAAAACGTACGTTTTTAAATTTTCACTCTATTATTGTTATTCCCAAATAACAATAGCCACAAATAAAAACCAGTGTATTTGTCCATTGGGCACACCTCCGTCATCTACTTGGACTCTTTTTGGCAGACCTTCCCACATTTCGGACATTCTTAGGCACTTATTCACTCATATTCTAAATTTATCTAGAGATATTCCCTACTACCATATAAGTTTTGTAGGGGGGGGGGCGACGGAATGATGTTCACTTACACTAGAAAAATGTCTAACCATTACCACACTCTTTTATAGTGTCATCAAAAAAAGTTAATTCTAGGATGTTTTGCATTAGACGAAGTAGATTTTTTAAACTGTGGAGCATCAGACAATAATCAATCACTAATAGCTAGAATACTGTATAGTTATCACATTTTTTAATGATTTTAATTCTTTAGGGTCTAATTAAACATTTGGCAATATCATTATATTGCACAAAGCTCTTATAATGGGCAGGTAGCCCCTAGTACTTGGTTGTGTAGTGACCCTTAAACTCAGAGAGGTCATCATGGCTTTTCAGTTAGGAATTTTGGTGTATTGAGATGTACTAAATTTATTTTTACTTGTATTGGCTTGGCTAATGCAAGTTTTTGTTAGTTTGGCCCATAACTTATTGAATAAATTTTTCAGACGAATGAATCTCTCTTAATTTGAGAAGTTCAATCTCCTTCTTGAGGTCATTTTGATTGGTGAAACAAACTTAAATGAAGTACCGGTAGTTTATGATGAGAACTTTAGTGACACTTTTTTAGCCTTTAGTGTCACGGCTAGTGGCAAATAATAAACCAAGTTGATCATGAACAAAATTAACACACGAAACAAGTCAATTTCAACAACAACCGACGAAACAAGTCAAAGTGATGACTATTCATTGTAATGATACAAGTTGACTTTCTGCTGATGAAATAATAATAATTCTAAGAATAAGAATACACACCAGTATAATTCTTAAATAGTTAACTCTTCAATCTTCTTGTACTTGAACGTATTAATAATGTAAACATTAGCTCAACGTCAATGGATGTTTGAAATTCAGTAAAATAAATGCACTATGGGATATCAGGAGTACCAGCAGTTATGCACTATGCAGGCATTGACTCACTTTACCCTCTTGAGTTAAAAGTAATGGAAGAATTACCTTCTTCTGACACAGATATTCCCTGCAACTATGCTGGATAATGAGTGATTTCAGTAAAGTAAATAAATTCAATACGCTGTTGTGGGACAAAGTAAAACAGCTTGTTGGTGGAACAAAGGACTGAATTGAAATAGTCTGGAACGTAGAATTGGAAAAATTGCAAGTCCAATGGTTGTGTTCATATTAAAAATTACTAAATACATTTAAAAAAATTGAAATCAAATTTGTGTTGGAAAAATTGCAAGTCCAATGGTCCTATCCATATTAAAAATTACTAAAGTAGTGAAGTGGGGTATCCCATGTGTGCTCTTCAGTGCCAGACACAAAACTGAGTTGAATATGAATGATAGCGCCAGGGTTTGATCTCCGATATTGGGCTGTTTAAACAGGTTGGGTGGATGTGGGATTGAAGGACATGATTGCAACTAAATTCTATACACGTAATATTTGAAAATTAAGTTGTATTTATAAAATTACTCTTCATATAGCCTATGATGGATAGTTAATTGTACAGATGTCTTTTAATCTAAAACATACATACAAGCATGTTTACTACTAAAGACACTGTAACATGTTTAGCAACAAGTATATAGCCTATGATGGATAGTTAATTGTACGAATGTCTTTTACTCTAAAACATACATACAAGCATGTTTACTACTAAAGACACTGTAACATACGAGCTACGAGTGACTTGGTAGTGTGTGAATGTGTTACTATCAACATTATCAAAATACACAACCCATACTTTTTTTCAAACAAAACCTAAAAAGGTGAAATGATGAGAACAATTAAATAAAAAAAACCTAACAATACACACATACATTGGGCCTTCCATTGTTTAGAAAAGTTTATGTTTGGCCATTTAGATGTGTCTAAAACATCAATTATGATAAGCAGATAAGATCATACTTAACATGAACTAAATCAAGGCTCATCTCCTTAGCACTTATTAATCTAGCAAAATACATACACACAAAATAAAGATTAATTTTACAGATGTTTTTTAAGTCCGTAACATACAAGCATGTTTACTACTAAAGACACTGTAACATGTTTAGCTACGAGTGACTTGGTAGTGTGTGAATGTGTTACTATCAACATTATCGAAATACACAACCCATACTTCTTTACAAAATCTAAAAAGGTGAAATGTTGAGAACAATTAAATAAAAAAACCTAACAATACACACATACATTGGGCCTTCCATTGTTTAGAAAAGTTTATGTTTGGCCCTTTAGATGTGTCTAAAATATCAAGTATGATAAGCAGATAAGATCATACTTAACATGAACTAAATCAAGGCTCATCTCCTTAGCACTTATTAATCTAGCAAAATACATACACACAAAATAAAGATTAATTTTACAGATGTTTTTTAAGTCCGTAACATACAAGCATGTTTACTACTAAAGACACTGTAACATGTTTAGCTACGAGTGACTTGGTAGTGTGTGAATGTGTTACTATCAACATTATCGAAATACGCAACCCATACTTCTTTACAAAATCTAAAAAGGTGAAATGTTGAGAACAATTAAATAAAAAAACCTAACAATACACACATACATTGGGCCTTCCATTGTTTAGAAAAGTTTATGTTTGGCCCTTTAGATGTGTCTAAAATATCAAGTATGATAAGCAGATAAGATCATACTTAACATGAACTAAATCAAGGCTCATCTCCTTAGCACTTATTAATCTAGCAAAATACATACACACAAAATAAAGATTAATTTTACAGATGTTTTTTAAGTCCGTAACATACAAGCATGTTTACTACTAAAGACACTGTAACATGTTTAGCTACGAGTGACTTGGTAGTGTGTGAATGTGTTACTATCAACATTATCGAAATACGCAACCCATACTTCTTTACAAAATCTAAAAAGGTGAAATGTTGAGAACAATTAAATAAAAAAACCTAACAATACACACATACATTGGGCCTTCCATTGTTTAGAAAAGTTTATGTTTGGCCCTTTAGATGTGTCTAAAATATCAAGTATGATAAGCAGATAAGATCATACTTAACATGAACTAAATCAAGGCTCATCTCCTTAGCACTTATTAATCTAGCAAAATACATACACACAAAATAAAGATTAATTTTACAGATGTTTTTTAGTCCATAACATACAAGCATGTTTACTACTAAAGACACTGTTAGCAATGAGTGACTTGGTAGTGTGTGAATTTAAATAGATGTGTCAAAAACATCAAGTATGATAAACAGATGAGATCATACTTATATTTGAACTAAATTATGGCTCATCTCTTTAGCAGTTATTAATCTATCAAAATACATTCAAACAAAATAACACAATATATTTAGTCTTTTGTGAGGTCAATCTCAATCACCTCTTCTTCTTCTTCTTCTTCTTCTTCTTCTCCTTCTCCATTATCTGGAATGATTTCTGGAACAGGCTCCTTAGTAGGAAGATTGAGTGGGTTGAAATCTGGATGGGAGAGCAACTTTTGCAATTTTTGTTCATCAGTCTTTGGCTGAAAAATACACAATCACAATGTACTTGGCAGAATACAACTAATGGTAAAACATACAAGTTACAATTAGTGTTAAGTAAAAGTGGATACTAACATTTTAATGACTCCAATATAAAATATAAGTAAAATCAAATTGAAATATTGGTTTTTTTATTTTATTTTGTAGAAGTTACGTTATAAATAATGTTATAAGTCATCTAAATTTAAATATTGGTGACAATCACAATACACCAATCACAAATCAGACGGAGCCGTGAGAGATAGTTCAAATCTGAGACCAATGTTTTGTTCTTTTCTATTTTAGCCGGTTTCTACCCTTATGTGACTATTAGTCTCATCATAATGTAAGAAATCATAACATAAGTTTCAGTGGGAAGGATGTTAATCCCTGTTGCAATCCATGGCCAGCTGATAGATTCCATAAAAGTATGTAGACATATAAAATGTGCATAGTGGTTTAGGTTTAGAGTGTTCACAGAATTCTGAACATGTTTGCACAAGGAGGCTGGCAGCGAATGTTATCAGTTTAAACTGGGACAGTGATCAATTTTTTTTTTAAATTTGTAAGCTGAGAAGCGTGTTAAGTCTACCAGGGTTTACTTATAGTCCTCGACAGCCTATAGTAGTTTACTATCAAATTGACAATCCTACTGCAATCTGCAGGCAAGAACTAACTAAGCCGGCCAGCCTAATCCATGCACTATGTTGTGCAAATATTTAAAACTGCCTAAGAACTCCATCCACCCCTTACAGGCATTTCCTAAGCCCATACAATTTCCTCAACTGGAGATGAATATGAAATGAAAAATGAAATTAAATGAGAATCCTTCTTTATTGAGGCAAACTTTATACAGTTAGCCTCTAACTCCTGACATCAGTAACGGTTGATGACTGAGACCACAGAAATTTAATTACAGAACAAGATTTATCAGGTTGCCCAGCGCCCTATCAAAATAATTCAAGGACAATTCCAGGTTTTCAAAATTCAAAAAACAAATTTTCTAGGACAAAATTTGCTGCTCAAAATAACTAAAACGTCTAGGCTACTTGTTCATACCTGCTAGAACCATTAAAATTCATGTTTCTGGCCCCTAGATTATATTGTTAAGACCATAATAGGTTTTGCATACCTCCGTCAAATAGTCCAACTATTAATATTGCTCATCAGCTTACATGTATCGTTGCGAAGACAACATTTTCAAAGCTTTCAACTCGCCAAAACCACAATTAAAAACACGGATGACACGAACACAAAAAACATTAAAATTGTATGAATACACAAACATTTAGATGGCGCTATCATAATAAATAATATTTCTTAATTTAGTCCGGCGCAGGCAGGGTTGGAAGCAGACTCAAAGTTAATTGTGTTTTTTATGTTGAATTCTACCACATGGGTGGTCAAATTTTTTGATTATGATAAATTTGTAATCTGCAATCGTGGCAACGTTTGTGATGATTTCTTGTAATGTTGGACATCCGTGATGGTATCTTAAAATCGCCACAAAATTTTGGGATGATTTCCCGTGCATGCTACAATTTTTTGATCACTTGCCATTGCGGCAAAATCCATAATAGTTTCTCACGGTCATGGCAGCACACATTATGATGTATTTTGATCCCAGCAACATGATTGTATCTATCCGGCGATCATGCAAAACCTTTGATTATTTCTTACAATCAGGGTAATAACTGTGATGATATACTCTGATAGCGATAGCACCTGTGATTATCCCACACGATCGTTATGTCTGCGATCATCTCCAGCAGTAATACCCAACACCCTTGACTGACACCGGTGACTATTATTGCGATTGCTGTCACACCTGTAATCATCTTGTAATTGCCCTGAAATTCATAATGATTTCTCTTGTTTACTGCAACGCCCGTGATCATTTCTACTTTTCTAGCAATAGTCCAGGAGCTGAGGGGGTTTGAGCATGCATGAAAGTAGTACGCAATGTTATTGCTGATTATTGTAATATGGACTGAGGATTATTTTAATATTCAAAAGTGGTCGATAAGGTGGAGGGGAGGGGGCAAACATGGCGGGGGCACTGTGTGTTAAAACGCTGATATTTCGAAAACGGTAAAAGACAGAAAATCGGTTAAAACGTCGTTGTAATCCTATGAATATGGACTACAATAATGGTTATCAGGTCCGAGGACGTATCTCTAAAATAAAACAAGTTATTGTATAAAATATGTAAAAATAGACTATTCGTGTATAGTTTTTTTCCAAAAGTAGAATTAATTTGTGAGTGTCGCAAAGAAGTAATATAAAATATCTTCGCTGATAGTTGTAATACGGGACTGTAGTTATAAAAAATACACATATCGCCTACTTTTCAGGTGGTCGAGAACTTTGGGGGAGGGGTACAGAGATGGCGGAACGTGCTATTCATTGAAACGACTCTCTCGAGAACGGTACGAGATGGGACATCGGTCAAAACGTCGTTTTAATAAAAAAATATGACCAATAGAAAAGGTTATTAGGTACAAAGTTGTATCTTAAATAATTAAAAAATTATAACAAAAATATATTTCGCAAATTCTACATTATACAGCTATGTCTTTCCAGAATGTGGACACCCTGTTCAAGTACAATTACCAGTTTTCCCGATTGGCTGGACACACTGTTTGTACTTGGGGGAATTATCAGCCCGGTGCGCTATCCACTACGCCATCGAGACCTATTGACAACTATTCAACGTATCGTTGCGGTAATGGTGTTCTCTCGAGCAGTGGTGGGCAGTGGCGGTCTGTCGGCAAGGGTTTCTAACGTTGGAAGGCTAATTGTCATAATATTTAGGGAGTCACCCGAAAGCCCTTCTTCACATTCCGGCCGGTTCGAACAATACTTGGTTGCTAAGATCGGCTACAGCTTAAGTTCATGTCACACAATTCAATTGAATTAAAGTCAATCTTTTATGGCATGAATCAGTTTTAAGTAATAACTAATCAATTTATTGATTGAGCAACATCTCAATGTAAAACTAACAAGAGAATTATTCACCCTTACAAGTGCACGAGGATCAATGGATGTCACATACATGGGTTTTTGAGACATAAACGATTCAAAGATGGGAGATAAGAAATCAATCTGCACCCAGGATGTCATTCAACTTCAACTTTAAAAAATAGATAAAATCAATGAAAAACTATACTATCTGTCAAGATTGTCTGGGTATCCGTGCAGCTGCTTCGACTGTTGGAATTGACAAAGAATCAGCTTGAAAAATATTACCACAGAAAACATACTACTATAACCCAGAATGCCAACCACATGGTAAAAAGCATTAAGTGTTTTGAGCGAGCTTTGCCTGTCAACCGTAGGCAGCGCCACCAGCATTGCTATGCTGAGTGCATGGCAACGCTGGTGGCGCTGCCTACGATTGATAGGCAAAGCTCTCTCAAAACACTTAATGCTTTTTACCACGGGGTTGGCATTCTGGGTTATAGTAATATGTTTTCTGTGATATTACACAATCTTTTTAACAATGAGATAAGTGTGTTCTAAAATGGTGCCCTAAATCCTCACGCTTAAACGAAAGCATTCACAAATGGAAATTTGTTCTGAAACCTTGAAAAACATCACAAAAGATTTCATGTCAATACGTTGCTCATTTATACCCCTACCCATTATTCTGGCACTACACCATCCGACACGAACGAAGGCTGTAGCCGAACTAAGATGTTAAGTGGTCAAGACTTGGCAATATTTAGGCCTTCAGGACCAGACCAGTTTTTTGTTTTTTTTATACCACACATCATATAACGATCAAAAGTTTATTGTATCAGTTTTAATATAAATAAAAACACGATGGAAGGCGTTTTTATAAAATACCCCCGCCGCAGCAAACCTGCAGACTAAGCGAATTTCCATTTACCTGATTGGATTTACACTAAAATTTCTCCTTAAAAATATCACATTTATTCCCTAGGATTTAAATTAACATTAGTTTAACGAGTACTTAGGTTTGCTGCAACAGGGAGGGTAAAAAGGTGTTTTTTTTGTAAAATGTAATAGTTTAGTACGAAATTAATGCATTTTCCAAATTTGATCAAAATATGTTCATAAACAAGCAAACTACAACAGTTTACTTATTCTCCATAAGAATAACATGGGAATTTTAAATTTACAGATTTTTGGAATTTTCTCCGTAACCATTAGGCGCATAATAACGCTTCAATATACTAAATTATTTGTTTTTTAAGCTCTACAAAATGGTTTGGAAAGAAATTGCTAAATTTTAAGTTTTTAGTGTAAAAAATGGGAAAAACCAATTTTTATCCCATAAAACCCCCCATAAACCCCTGTTCCCATAGTCCGATCATGCTGGTTCGCGAACTCGTTTGCATAAACGTAGGTTTACACGTTTGTACCAAATTTCATCAAAATCGGATGATTTTTGCTCGAGTTATCGCGCTAACGGACACATATATAAATATATATATATATGAATTTGAACGGATGTGCTGTTGTTTGAACGGTGTTTTTGGTCTCTAGGGACCTCAAAACGAAAAAGTAAATCTGTCCCGGGTCCAGGTCTTACCATGAGTGCTACGGTAATAGCTTATTCCCTATAGGGGAAATTCGCTAAAAACAAAAAAAAAAACAACAGTATAAGACAGTACTTCACAATAACCAGATTGATAAGCTACATGCCGATGTTTTAACCAAGAAATTGTCTTAACCCTCCAACTGACAATGGGCCAACTCTGTAGTAGCAAGGCATTTTTGGCGATTTTGCAGTCATATTTTTGGAAATCCATATCAATTAAACCAACAGAGCAAACCTATTGAAAGGTATACTTGAATGTTCGTAATAATCATCACAATACAAATCAAACAAATGATAAATTTGAAAATTGTAACAAAATAAATAGGCAACTTAGAACAGTATGTATTGACATTAGATAGAAAAAAATGAATAATTAGTGTTTTTTGAATTTTGAAATTTTTAAGGTAAAACTTTGCAGCATGAACCAAAAGCTCTTTATGTGAAATTCAAGATATACAAAATATTTGGAATTTATTGCCCTACATGGAAATGTAAAAAGATTTAAACTACCATTTTGTTTTAGAAAGTTACGACCTTAAAACAAAAAATGGCAAATTTCATGATTTTTTGCTACAGAATTTAAAACAAAAATCTAATAACTGTGTTCTCAATAAATGTAGTGAAATTACACATTTTTGTAAAGGCAATAACATTGGAGATCAAAATGAAGTAAGAGTTGTTCATGGAAAATGATCATTACAATAAATATTCATGACTTTTATAAATCTTTATATTTTTCTAGAAAAACATTTTGTTATTCAAATGTAATGGGAGGAGGATTTGACAATGTTGTGTGAGTAGGCTAGTAGTGTTGTTAAACAATGACTTGTTGTGTTGACCTACATAAGGCTGTGGCTTTAAGGCCAGTGCACTTGATCAGGGGGTCAGTTTTGTGTGTAGTGTTGAGTGTGGTGCACCAGAGGACAGGGTCCTTCTGCTAGGGGAAGGTAAGACAATTTTAAGGGTTTTAAAATTTAGGGTTTAGAGTCTTTTCCAAATTGGGGTCTCATTTTTTAAACTAAGGTAAACGCACCAGTAGCTGACAGTATAAGAAACTATACGCACTTAATAATCCGTGGTTTCGAATAAATAGGAACTAAAGAGATATTACGGATTTTATGTGATTCTAAATTTAGTGTAGTTTTCAAATTTGTCATACAAAAGGGTTTTTTAAATATATTTTATAACATTTTTAAGCTTAATTCAACCTTTGTACGTGTCCCAGTGGCTGACAGTGAAAAAAGTGCTTGTACCAGTAGCTGACTGTCAGTTGTCCCAGTAGCTGACACTGGAACTATAAATGTACTAGCTGCTAAACCTAACTAAGGGTTTTATAATTTATAAGACGAATAAAATCTAACTTAATAATTAAATTATAAAATCATGTAAAACGTTATTAAGAAAATTTATTTTACATATTTTAAAATAAAAAATATTTACATTAAAAAAATATATTTTATATACCGGTATATTTAAAAAAAATATATATACATTTTTTAAAGATAATTTGGCTTATTAATTAAAAAATTAAAATGTGTGAAAGCAAACACATAAAATTAAACATTAACTATTCATTAGGTTAATGCAGAATGGGTTTAGACTGCTAAAAACATGTTCTTTTATGTACTCTCATCTTGCAAGTAGCAAATATCCCCTGTCAGCTAGTGGAACTTGTATGGCTTTTGTGTACCGAAGCCTGACATTGATATAATTTTAAATCCAAAACCCCTAACACCCCAATTTTATCATGAAATTGTCAACAAAGGTATAATTGATAAAAATAATGAGCCTAATCATTAATACTATTTAAGAAATTTAGCGAAATGACAAACAACCAAACTTACCTTCTTAACAATTTTATCAAGGGAATCGACTAAATGTGATGTGTACAGACAGGGTCGCTTTCAAACCACCACCATTCAGCGAGAATGGGCTAAATTTCACTGATTTGTTTGTAAACAAATCAAGAATAAACATATGTTCTTCTAACAACAATGCAATCATGTGTACATATTTTTAAGAGACCACATTATAATAGAAAGAAACTCAAACTGTCAGCTTCTGGAGCACTGTCAGCTACTGGTGCATTTACCTTAAATGATTTATACAGTTCCAGTCTACTCTACCTTTTTGTTTGTTGTTTTATCTTTGTGTTCTTTGTATCGTTTTGGGTTTTATTTAAGTATGGGTACTGTAAGCAAGTTCTGAGTTTTAATCCTGAGCTACGTCACCCAAAGTAACAGAGGTACCGACCGTTACAGGTGATGGAAGTGCCAGGAGTCTTGTAACTTTTTACAGAACTACAAATCTTACAAATCTTGGTACCTCTTCACAAAAAAAATTGCTTTAATTGTTGGGGTCCTAGTAGAGTTGACAAATTTGGTTTTTTAATACATATATATATATGTTTTTTTTGTATTATTTGTAATCACCACTTTAGTGCAGTTTTTCATCAGTTTTACATGAGGGTATAACAATTATTCCATTTTACAAATATTTTAACAATTTATTTGGAGTTAACCAAAGCCTTGTAAAATGCCACTATTTTCTCTGCCACTACAGAAACTACCTACCGCGACTATTATAGTCACGCTGCCAGTTGGAGGGTTATGAGAGGGTTTAACATGGAGCACTTACACTGAATATTTATAAGGGTAAGTGGCTTAAACGTCTGAAATATTTATGGAGATGCCAGGGATTGAATTCCTTAGGTAGTCTAAGTCGCGCAAGAAATAAACCTGTAGATAAAGTTTCATGACGTTTAATTTTTTTTTTTTTTTTTACTGATACACTAGGTATACATTCTGTTTGCTATTAAAAACCAATTCACTGAACTATAGGTTTGTTGATTATTGGCACAACTAACTATTCATTTATTCAAAGGAAAACCTAGTAGACAACACTTTTTAGTTTTTATTTGAATGGAAATATTAATAGGGGTTAAAAATCTACAAGAAATATAAAAGACCTTTCAGGTGATTTGAGTGGCTAACAGCTAAGCTGTTATTATTAAGACCCTTTTGACTCACTGAAGTAACGTCTCGTTAAAAATGGAGAAAATCTATTCCAACTTCACTCTGAGCTCTTCAAACAACAGTACAACTAACTATAGCCACACATATGTTTATACAACAACTGCTAAAGGCATAATTTTAACCATACCTCTCTAGAATATGTCTTGCCAAACTTTTTTACATCGGGCTCCGTTGGTAGGTCATTAAGTTGCTTGCTCAATCTTTCAATCAATTCAGGATTATTAAGTGTTTTCTTTACATTCTTAATACACTTCAGGATCACTCTTTTGGTTAAGTCATCCAATCCATAGAAAGGAATACCATTTAGCATACAATGGAGGTATCGGTACATATCCCTGCAACATTTAAACACCAAAATGTCTTTATAACCTGTACACAAGAGATTAAGCATACACAATTGGTCAGATAATATCATATCCCCCAAAGAAATGGTTGGGATGTTGAAATGTCACATATTAAATGATTTCAGAGTATTCTTGAAAATAACTGCCTCTTACTATGTATATCAACCTCAACTTGTTGTATTATTGATTGTATTATGCTGTAGAGTGGCAACACTGTTAAATAAGAATAACTTTAGGGTCATGTTTTTTAATCAATCTGGATTCATGTAACCAGGGGCGTTTCCTTGGGAGGGTAGAGGGGAACCTCCCCCCTCAGAACCTAGAAATGAGAAAAGTTGGGAATTTACTCGCCACGAGTTGGGACGGTTGGGAAGTCGAGGAATATACAAGAAAAATATATTTTTTAACAAAATAAAAAATAAATATTTGCGAAAATCCATCAAAGATTAAAATTTCTTTGACTTGAACAAATAAACTTGATGTTTCTTCAACTTGCATTTAACTTTGATTAGGCCTAAACATCTTAAGCTAAACACGTTTTATTTAAGAAATGAATAATCAATTAGCGGTAGTTTGTTGGAATTTCGTTAGCGAGAAATTTTTTTCCTTGTTGGACGTATGTTGGCTACCCTGATCCTGTCCTGTGTTGATGATTCGTCTGAAAGACTGAGAGTTTGAAAGTTCAAGCGATATAGCGCTTCAGTTTAAAACAGATTTTTAATACCGTAACTTAAATGAAATGTTAATTCTCCGAATACATTTTAAAAATCTACAAAAGTCATATATCATTCCTAATTAAGGATTTACACAAATTAATCAACTAATCACTCTGAAACAGATCTACGTGGAAAACATAACCTAAAATTTTATGTTTGAGTTTGACGTCTAAGTTTGATTTTTTTTATTCCTACACTGTGGTATTTTCTATAGGTACTACACATAATTTGTACTAGGCCTATTTTATATCCCTTAACACTGCTACATCTGCTACCACAATGACAATGGTTTGTACAGTTTATTGGATCTGAAACAATACTTATTCAAGTTTTTTGGTCATAAAATTTTGTTATGAATTAATTGGTAGAAGTTAAAGTTGTATTTTTAATTAAGTAATTTTAAATTAATGTTAAACTAGTTATGTTTTGTCAATAGAAGTGAATAAATACTGAATTGAGTATGACTGCAGTGTAGTATAATAATTTGTAGAGTTTTTTAATAGTACAGAAATTTTTGTCTTAAAACAAATAGTTGGGAAATCTATACTAAGCAGTTGGCAAAATTGAGGCTTCTCCATCCCCCCCCCCCCACGAAATTTCACCAAGCAACGCCTGTATGTAACATCTGTCATAAGTAGGCCTACAAGATAAAATGTAGTTTTATAATAAAGTTTATATTGTAACAGTCATCAGTTTCATTTAGCAACCAAATAAATAGTTTCTCTTTACAGGTTATGGGACCAGAAGATTAAATGAAGAGATACATAAAGTAAAGCCCAATTGAAAAGAAGAAAATTTATGAAGATGTCTTCTAGCTTTCTAATTGGGAGTTTGGGGTTAAATGTTTCTTAGCAGAGAAAATTTTCAAGGAAATTTCTCTAGAGAGGAAATCAGAAGATGATTTGTCAAAAATGAAAGGCCCTAATTGAACACGAATCTAAAGAAGCCAAAGCAATGTCCATTACTGTACAATGTGTGGCGGATATACATTTGGAGTATTTGAATTTGAAAGGTTGCGAAACACGGTATAACATGTTTGCCTGTCTTAAAAACATAATAGAGAGGAAAAAGTGCTTTGTCTAAACCATTCGTTAGAAGACAATTATTTGTTGTCCTTAAAGTGTAGTGAGGATAAGAAACTACAAGACCACATTGTAAAGTTTTACTCTAATTAGGGATTTTGAATCAACTATGAAGATGACAAGCTCTATGAAGTCGACAAGGTCTGCCATTTGATGCTAACCATACCTAAAAGGTTTGACTCTGTTATAACGGTTTTATAAACAACAAGCTCTAAGTTAACATTAGACTATGTTAAAAGTAAATTACTGGATGTAGAACCCAAGCTACAAAACTCTAGCCTAATTTCAGGTACAGCTAATAAAACTTTGTCAAATGATTGTATATTCAGTGTAGGTTATGGCAATCCAGACCTAGACCTAGTCCTAATTGCTTAAGGTGTGGTAGTACACCAAGGCGTATGAAAGAAGGTGTGTGCATAGTGACGTCACGTGCAAGCAAAACGTGTTTTATTTTGCCAAATCATATGTTTTCTTGTAATTTCCCAAAGACCTAAATTTTTGGTAATCCACTAAAAGTATTAACTTAAAATATTCGTTACTTTCGTTTCCCAGACATTTTTTGGAAATAAACCATAAAATTCAATAGGTTTTTATAAACATTTTGGAACCTAGAAAATAGAAAGTCAATAAGTTAATGAATTACAGTCTAACCTTGATATAACGAACCTCGATATTACGAACTCCTTGATATAACAAATTTGTTTAAATCCCCTAGAACTCTCCATAAGACAGAATGTATATTTTATCTCTACATAACGAACAAACCATAACAACGGCTTATTTCGGCTGAAATAAGACACCTCAATATAACGAATTTATCATTGTCAGAACCTCTACATAGCGAAATTTAACCTCTACTTAACGAATTGCCTACGTCTTCCCCTCGATATAACAAAACCCCCACCCCATTATTGTTATGAGAAAATCTGTTTCTTTATCAAATGAAATGGAAAGGTTACGTCATCGCTTGCGCTAATATTCGTCTGCTCCGTTTTACACATCTTTGTCTGCTGCTGCTGTCGCTGCACGCTATGTGACATACTGATGACTGATTTGATTTCATTCTCTGAGGAGAGGACTGATGACCAGGCCCGGTCTGGCTCCATTGGAGGCCCTCGGCTAGATGTTGATTTGAGGCCCCCAGCCAGATATAAAACAAGGACCATGGGGTGCTCTCACGGCAACAATTAGTTAGCATATATGTTTGCTGCATGCCGCAGGTTCATAAAAGGGGCCTAATGTGGTTTTAAATGATTAAAAGTTTTTGACAATTTTGATTAAATTAATAATTGCTAAATCTCCATAAATTAAAATCTTTGTATTTATAAATTTAATTCCAAGGTATCAATCAATTTAAATTTGATATAAAATTTGCTCGTATTTCTATTCACCTCTACAGCTGCCATAAAATTTAAAGGCCTATTCTTAAAATTGTTCTAAGTCTTCAATTTAAAAATACAGTAAGACCAAAACCGAGTTCTTGGAGTTTTGCCATACATGGTAAAAAAGCATATCACGTACCACTTTTGAATTTTGAATACATCTATGAATGGACCACATTTACTGTTTATCACACACTTTACTCCATAGTTGTACTTCAGCAACAAAGACAAACAGAAATAATCAAAAGTATTTTAATTTAAACGTTGTAAGGCTTACAAAAAACTTCTGATGATTTCCGCCTGCCTGTTTGCAACTTCTCATTGCTCATAGCAGAACCGGAACTGAAATCAGCTAACCTGCTAACCATAAGTTCAAACAGTTTGACTTTAATTTGTTTTTATTTGGAAATATTTCCTATCCATTTTTATTTTACTTGCGCCACTTGGGTGCACACGTTTCATTTAATAAACTGAACGATTCACGTGTTAATAATCTTTCAAACAATACGTCATAACCCACTACGTAGGAATGACTGGAAACAGTCGTCGGTGATTAAACTAGTCGTAACACCATACTCGACCTTTTGGTGTTGAGAGGCTGACTGGTCGAATAAAATCAGTTGTAGATAAACTGACGGATAGGAATTGGGAACAGTTTTTAGGGATGATACATAAAATGTAATTGCATTTATTTTTGTTGTTTAAAAAAATATAAAATTGCCAAGACACTGTGTTTTATATAATGATTTAGATTTTAATGCCTGTAGTAAAATCTGTTTTAAAAACCAGGTAACAAATAAATAGGAATATTTGTTATACTGAGTTAGAGACATTAGGCCTACTGAATAATTTAAATCTTGCAGTCATGTAATAAACTAAAAAATTTTAATTAATTGTAAATGTTGTCATTCTATTACGTTTTATACCAAAGTAACAAAATATTAATGCAAATGACAACGAACAATAGGAATCAAGCGGGAAAACTCCAATGTTTAAAGTAAAATTATATTCGATAATTTTCTTTGCAATGACTGAAACCACTGCACCGATTAAACGCCACCAGTTGTTGTTGTAGTGGAATTCTCTCGGTTTTTCATTTGACTGAAAAAAAACACACTGGTTTTAAAAACAACCGATTGACAAATTGACTAGTCGATAGTTTTTTCCAGTCGGTTGTCCCATCGCTATACTAGTACAAGCGCTAAGCTGTCTGCTTGAGTCCAGACACCAGACATATCGAAGACCCGCCGGCACGGCAATGTCTCGTCACTACCGCGGACCGCTGGGCGCTAAGCTGATTCGCACGGTGCGTTACAGTGAGATCGGTGACTATCCTCTAGTACCGAGTGACTATCACTGTACTTAGGGGCTACCCCTAACTGTAATTCAATTAAAAAAAGAGTATTGCTTATTAAAAATTGTTTTTGCAAGACTACGTCGCTGTGAAACAGTTAAACAAAATATTATTTTATTATAACTAATTTTTTTTAAATTGATTTTTTGGCTTTTGGCTTGAGCCGGAGGCCCTCGGGGATCGCCGACCAGCCGCCCTGGCCAGACCGGGCCTGCTGATGACGACGCAATCAATCATTTGTATTTTCAATACAATTTATTTCAACTAGCAACACCAATCCTTTAGTTGATGATTGTTAATATTGAGATTCCTCTGTTGTGATAAATCAGTACTCTACTGTAAGTAGCCTACCGGCCTATCACGAGCAGTAGCTTACAAATCTCTCTACTGTTTTGTTTTGTTTTTTACGCGGTTTATGACTATACAATAGTGTTTGGCTAGGTTTTAGGAGGGTTAG